TCATATTTTCAGAATGAAAATATAAAGATGCAACAGAAACGTGAGGATAGACTGTAAAAGTAATTGCGTGAGTTTCAACTAAATCGCATGAGCTTTTTTGTCGTCGTTTTGGCCAGGGGAGATGCATCTGTAGTGTTTGTGTGACTGGTTGAAAGAAAGAAGTGTATTTTATTTTTATTTTTTTGCACCCTTCTCTTGAATCATGTAGCACACGCATGCATGCTCCGCTATACGTCGCAGGATGCTTTCACGCCGTCTGAGGCTCAAATGTTGCACTCTTGTAGCATTTTACCCCGAAGGCGTTTATTTCTCAATACTATTTCTACAAAAAAAGGAAAGGAAAAATCAGCTTACTGAATCCGTCTTCAGTGTAGGAAGTGATGCTGCAAACAAAAAAAAAAAAAACCCATCAGATAACAGACGACTGAGGCCTGGTTCAGATGTAGCACAGTGCACCATTTTTACTGAACGCAGACCTGGGTCAGGTTTTTTCTTTCTTTCTTTTTTACCCTTCTTCCTGCCGCCTCTGTTGTCTTTCTCTTTTGTTGCAAATTTCCACCAAGGAAAGATCAAATGGTGACTTTTTTTGTGCTTTTTCACATCATTCTTACCAGAGAGCTCACTCATGAGGAACAGATTATCTGGTGGGAGGGGGAGTTTGGAGTGAGGGGAGATCTGGCCGTTAGAGTCGGGGAACTGGTTAGGAAGGCTTTGACTGGGACGTTTAAGATCAGTGGGACAGCAGGGCTCTGCGTAGGCTTCATGTGGTAGGCTGATGTGGTTTTCTGGAAATACCCCGGCATGCAAATACTTTAAAAAAAAGAAGAAAAAAAGGCACGGTTCCTCTGACAAGAAAAGTAGCGGTGTGTTGCCCAACATGCGGTGTGAGAACCCTTTTGCGGTACATTTTATTAGAGGTCATACGGCAGGAAGTTGAAATGAGTTTGTTTAAATACTTTGAATGCGTTAAAATAATGAAGCGGTCAGACGAGTTAGATAAGTTTCATTTTAATACTGAATTTATTAATGAGCAGTCTTTTGGCTCCCATGGCCAAGCCGTGGAAAATAAAATCCATCCTTGATCGGAGGAGTCTAAAATCTCACTGGAAAGCTGAAAACAGTCAACACACACACCAGGATGCCAAACTGAAGGTTTACTGAAAGATCCAAGAGCCTCTGATGAGTCGTGCATTACTTCCAGAAAACCTGGAGTTTGAATTTCACTCAGTGCTTCTCTTCAAGACAAGAGAACGTTCAACGAAGACAGACGAGCGTTCGTCTTTAGATGTCAGGAAAAGGCCGCAAGAAAACAGCTGCTCTCTGGGAGCTGCCCATGTTTACAGTCAGTACAGCAATCAGGTCGGTGGAAGTGTTCAGTCCAAATAAAGTTCACCGAAGCAAAGAGGAGCAGCCTGAGGTCACCAAGGATGAACAAAACCCGTGTCAACTTCAGATTTCTGTGAAGTTCAGCGACGTCGTCGGATTATCTCGTCTACATGGCCGATGCTGGATCACCCACAAGACTACAAAGATCAGAGATGAGATTGAGCAGAGATAGGAGTCAGGTGTGTGAACATGCTTTTACATGACCATTTGCATTTGTTCAAAGACAATGAAACTGAAATCACTCCCTTGGTTCACGCCGCACTTTCATGTGACTCACTGATGGGAATTGAGACACCTCCTTTTTTCCAGGCCGTCACCTCAGGGTTGTTGTGAGTCTGAAACTTTCCCATGTTAAACCGTGGATTTGTTCTCAATGTCATAATTCCATCTAAGTCTCCTTCTGCAGAAGTAAAGGATGCCGTTTTTCAGTAAATGCTCTGGGTGTGTTCACTCACGCGATGCACTTTTCAAACAGTCTATGTTTCCAGGACTTTGATGAACCGATAGACTGTGCGCTGGTTCATTTTTCAATGTTCAGCAGGAATGTTAGGCAGCATCAAGGTCATATTAACAGATTTTTATATGAGAACTCATGTCACTTCAAATGAGTGACATAAGTACTACAAATACATCTTCATTAAAGTTACCAGAGGGTTAAAATAGTTGAAAAGTGAGCGTTTTAATTCTTTGGTTCCTTTGGTTGAATCCAGTTGTTTTCACAATATAGGGTACTCTGACCTTATTTTGTGGAGAAATGTCTTTGTTTTCATAAAGTTGTTTCTGAAAACAGTTTTTTCACATTTGTTCAACAGAAAAAGTGAAAAGTGTGACATACATTTGTGGTCAGCTCCTTTTTAGAGTTGTAATCACAACCATAGGTCTTCTGGGGTATGACTCAGGTCGGATAGAGACAGCGGTCGACTTGGGTCCAAACTTGTACTAGGACATTCCAAGAAGAAGAAGAAAAAAAAAAGAAAATTGATCTCAAGACTTTTTATAGTGTTTGGCAGATTTTCTTAGATGGTTTCTCTGAATGTAGTTAAATCTATCTTCCTATCAACTCCATGCAGCTTCCCTCTCTCTGCTGAAGAAGAGCACAGCTCCCCACTGTATGTGGGGAAAACAAAATTGTACTTTTCACGAGCGCCGGCTGTGTCTGTACGGACACACAGAAGCCAGCAACTTGTGTCGCGAATGCAGGGGTGAAACTTGTGTAGACAAAATCCATCAAAGTGTCTGATTCAGCTTTTGCTTTTGACTTCAGCCTAAAAACACATTTATTATTGCTGCTGCCGTCAGACAGACGCGAGGCAAAATGGTGGATCAGTGCGCAGCAGCTCGGGATCATTGGGTTCCTTTAGCGGCACGATTCATTACAACAAACTCGCTGTCAAAGTAACGCGTGGAACAAAAGCGCGTGTCTTTTGATTGTCTTTGAAGTCAAGAGACTGTACAGAAACCCAAATGTACTCAGCAACAAAATGCTGCACTCGTCCAATTCAGCTCAGCGTTTCAGCTGTCAGAGGTGAAGTGTGAACGACAATGTCAAACCTCGCTGAGGGAAGAATGGCATTTTGTGAATGAGCGCGCCCAACTCTGACTCACTGGCTCTTCTTTCGAAAAGAGAAATGTCGCAAAAATCAAAAGTACAGCCACCGCTTATTCCACAGGAAGTTTTCTGGTGTTGTGCAATAGGAAGGGGGTGTAACCACGGTGACTTTGACCATTTTGTCAGCCGAATTAGCTTTTAATTTCCACTGAATGATGTCACACAAAGAAACCCCTGTTAATAATGATGGTGCTGTTGAACCGGCCAGAGAGAGCCTGTTGTTTTTGCACAGACAAAAAAATGAAAGCGGAGCTTTAACAGCGTGATCTGGACCCTCGAATGTAAAATGAGTGTGATTTTTAAATTTTTTTTTTAATAATTAGAAAGTCACAAAACCTAAAATGAAGGTGAATTAACAGACTTGAGTCCCTGATCATCAGCTAGAGCTGAGTAAAAATAGAGCTTTATCAAGTCCCAGGTCAAAAAGGTCACGGAAACTGATATCAGAACAACAAGAAAGAGTTACTGCTGCCTGTTGGTCCAGACGGTGTTGCAAGACTATTTCCAAACTCAGGAAAATATAAGACATACAAAAAAAAATTTTTAAATCTTGCAAATTGCATAATAAGAGGACTTTTCGAACTAAATATATCAGTGTTAAAAACCTTGTGACACGTCGGGAATTGCAAAACACCACTGTCTCTATGTTGCCCTGCGATGGTCCGTGCAAAGTTTATCCAGCCGCCTCTTGCCCAATGGCGGCTGGAGACAAGAGACAAACGGACACACAGATGGCTAGCATGTCAAAACAACTAAACCTAAGAAGTCATGACTACATTATATTTATATATTTAAATGTTCATACATAATGGCCAAAATTATTGTATTGTTGGCAGGTGCTGTTCTTAGCTGTTTCTACATAATTAGTTGCTACAAGCGGGACCGCTTCTGGCTGTGAGGCTGACCTGGGCGAAAAAATTCATATTGTATTTAGTCAGGAAATAAATACAATAACCAGCTTCTGTTTACAATCATGAAACTGCTAAAGCAACAAGCACTCACTTGTCAGCCTGTATTGAAAAGGTATTTTGGTCGTAACCTTTAGATTTTTCTGTGGGTGGAGATCACAGTCACAATCCCTGTCAAAATGGCAAGTTTTGTAATGTAGAAAAATTACACCGCGATAAGACGTTTCAAAACCTTTTCTTCAGGAAGTGTGACCTTTGTCCTGCACAAGGGCAAAGTACTAAAAGAAGATACATGCACATGGACAAAAAGATGATAAAACCCCCCAAAATTTATATTGTACAGTATTATTAAGAGTGCTTTACAAAGAATTCAGACTTCTTTCCCTATTTCAGTAACATACTGTTGAGCAGGTGAAATAAAAATTAAAAAATACATATATATATATATATATATATATATATATATATATATATATATATATATATATATATATATATATATATATATATATATATATATATATATATGTTTGAGCAATTTTGCAAAAAAACCCCAACAACAAACAAAGGAAAAAACAAATACAAAAACAGAAGAAAAATCAATCAAACTCTTGTGACCCCTGAGTATTTTCAACTTTACCATATAAAAACCAACAAAGTAACTTTATAATTACTTTCTCATTTAAATTTTGCAGCATAAATATAACAGATACAATAATTAAAAAAAACAAAACAAGCATTATATGCAAGTATGGCTCATTTTAATTCTTATTGGAGATTGAACAGTTAGCTTTGGCGCCCCCTGGTGGCTGATTATTCATTCCGATATTTTTGGAAGGTTTAAGTCGCTCTTTTTTTTTAAACACAGATTTAACTTTCTTAATAACGTGTTGCTTTTTTTGTTTGTTGTTTTAAAATTATCTTCAGATTACAAAATAAAAAAAGCAAACAGAACTCGGTAGATGTAAAGTAATGTTGCTACACGCTTTTGTACGGTAGAGGGCGGTATGCGCCTTCAAGTCGCTGTCTGCCATATTAGAAAAGAAGAGGAGGAGTCTTAAAACATGACACATTATTAAAAAAAACATACTTCCTGCTCCAGGCAATCATTCCCAATAAATCTTGATCGGGACGTTTGCCAGGTTCCAGGAGGGAGGAAATGGATTTCCTGTTGTTTTCAGCCACTACTACATGGACTTTAGTGGCCCTTGCTGTCACTCTGTTGTTACTGTGAGTGTTTGCAGTACTTTTGCTCTGACATTGTTTTACCACGTAGGGAAAAAAGGAAACTTAACGTCGGGTCTTTCTTTCTCGTCTTGAACATCAGGTATGGAGTCTGGCCTTACAGGTTTTTCAAACAGGTGGGCGTTTCCGGTCCGAGGCCCCTACCTTTCATTGGGACCCTGTACGGCATCAGACAGGTAGAAACCTTTAGAGACATTCATTAATACAAAACAGTTCAATAAGAGAAACGGAAGAGTGTTTTTTTTTTTTTTTTACATCATGTCTGTAAAAAAGCGAATATGTCTTATTGTCAGCCATTTTGACCCTGTGTGACCTCTAGGGCCTTCAGTTTGACAGTGACAGCAGGTCCAGGTATGGGGATGTCTGGGGGTGAGTTGAAGAAGAACTACCACTGCTTCCACTGAGATGCTCTCATTTCACTAAATAGTTAGTGAAACTGTGCAAAACATTTTTATTTGCGCCTTAGCCATATTGACATTCTGGAGTTAAAACTGTTTTGAGGTGTTTTGTTGTTGATGCATACTGATGCAACTTCATGCAGCCCAATATCTTCTGTAATATTCTTTCTCTTTTTCAGTCTGTTTGAGGGGCGAACCCCGGTGCTGATGGTGGCTGACCCTGAGATGATAAAAGCCATTTTGGTGAAGGAGTGCTACACTGCATTTACAAACCGCCGGGTGAGATGATTATTTATGGTGCTGTTTATGAATAAAGTCATCTCCGCTTGAGGAGTCCAGATTAACTTCCATGTTTTGAGCTTTGGGGGAAAGCGCTTCGTTCAGAAGATTTAGATTTTTATTTATTTATTTTTTCTGAAACGCCTGGCGAGGTTTGCAGGAACCCAAAGCCCGGCTTTGGACGTTGGTCATATCCAAAACACCTCCGCACACTCCGGTCGGCAGGTGCAAGAGGAAGTACGGCTCTGTCTCACTGAGAATGCTGCACTTTCACCTTTTCAGGGCTGGGAGTGTAACAGTGAAACCTTGATGTCTTAAATGACCCTGCTGCACTCTTTAACCACAAAGAAATGAGGTGAATTGTTTCTGAATGTCCCGTCCCTGCAAAGTCCAACCACGCCCTGCTGTTTTGTCTGTTTCCAGGTCATCGTTGAACAGAATGGCCCTCTGTACGACGCAGTCACAGCGGTGAAGGATGAAAGGTGGAAGCGAATTCGCAGCTCCATATCTCCATGTTTCACCAGCGGAAGACTGAAGGAGGTCAAGACCTTCAATCCTGTTAACCAGCTTCTACTGTTTGCTTTTCTTTATTTCTTTATTGGCACTGATGTGGTCTATGACGATAACATTAATGGAAATAGACTGAAACTAATGTATTTACTTAAAAAAAAAAAAACCCAGATCAAAGCGAACAATAAAAATAGGTCAAAAATAGAATATGATGACGATTTTACCGTTATCATATTTCTATTAGTGTCTCCATCAAGAAAAGGTTACGGTTACTCAGTTACATTTTCTTGAGTGACGTTTTGGTACTTTTTAGGAGTCATTTTAACTTTGACTTGAGCACTATTTATTTTTTTTATCAAGTATTGGTAAGTGCACCCATAAGTTTTAAAATGTAACAAAATGCAAAATAAAGCACAATTTAGTTGTTTTTTTTAAAGTCTGTCAACATTTCACACATTTCAGCGAGAAAAAGAAATTTCATCCACATCTGTGTGTAGAGAAAAGGTCTGCAACAGGGAGGAAGTCGGTCCATTTGACCCAGTTGATCTGCTTAGTGACCGACAACAAGCTGCTGGCGTTGCATGGTGTGAAACTTGCAGCTCACCAGTTCAGGGTTGAACTTCTCTCCAATTCTCACCGGCCAAAATAGGAAACTCTACTTTTTTATTTTTTGCTTGATAGAGAACCTTTACTGAATTCATTTTGTTTTCAAAGCTCACAAAGGGCTCCACCTGCTGGCTGCATTCACATTCTGCAGAGGTTTAAGTAGGCAAGACAGTTTTAACTCTGTTTTTTGTTCTTTTTTTTTCTGAAGGTTTTCCCCTTGGTTGCTCGCTTCGCAGATCGCTTCATTGCGAAGCTCGGAGAGATGAACCTGGACGAGCCCGTCCTTGTCAAACAGTCAGCGCTTTGATCCGTTGTACTCCCTCTGATTTTTGAACCGCTCCTCCCCAAAGGGGCAACAACACGACCCCTTCCCTTCTTTCTGTCTCTTCAGACTCATTTCGCCATACAGTTTGGACGTGGTGACCAGCGCCTCCTTCAGCGTGGAGATGGACTCCATCAACAACCCCGACGACCCTGTGAAAGTTCACATGGAGAAGCTCATGAAAATCAACTTCTTGCCTTTCCTTCTCTCCGGTAAGCCGCCCTCTTTCCTCTTGGCCGGAGAGCAGGTGATTTAAGACGAGTGGGACACGCCGTCTATTTTCATTGGGCAACTTTGTGTCTCTTTAGCAATCTTTCCTCCCAGTCATTACCTGCTGCAGCTCTTCAAGGTTGAGATGATGCCCACATCCAGTTTGGACTTTTTTCACAACATCATTAAGAAATTTAAAGACCAGCATAGCGCAGATGTGTCGGTAAGCGTTGGTTTGCTGTCGTATCTCTAATGGTAAGAAAAGAAAAAAAAAAAAAAAGAAACCAAAACATTCATACGTGTAGGTAAAAATGTTCTGTGTGAATCCAGACTCGTGGAGATTTCCTGCAGGCGATGATCCAGAGTGAGATCCCAGAAAGCGACATAAAGAGCCAACATGAGCAACCGAGTAAAGGTCTGTTTTCACTGACCATGAATGACCGGGGGCTGAAATTTAGAAAGGTCCACTGATAACATCAATATTAACAACAAAAGTTAAGCCCATGTCATCACGCTACCTCCACCGTGTCTGACTGTTGCTATGGTATTCTTCTGAAGCGCAGTTAGTTATTTGCCATTAGAGTTGAATTTGCAGCACTTTTCATGAAGAATCAATGACTCACTTTTTCAGTGCTTGCCATGTTCCATGTCCCCCCCCCCATTCGTCAATGATGATTCACTGGACGAATTAGAAAATGGCTTCGTGAGCTCGTCGAGCTGATAAATGTCAATCGATGCCTTTTGGCTTTTATTCCTTCTTGAACTCGTCGCGGATCAAGGCATCATTTGTTGCTTGTTGAGCAGAAGTAATCTGAAGCACGTGAATGACTCACACCAGCGTTTCTGGCTGCAGGTCTGACTGAGCACGAGATCCTTTCCCAGGCCACGATATTCATCGTCGCTGGCTTCGACACGACCAGCAGCACCCTGTCCTTCCTCCTTTACAACCTGGCCATCTACCCTGACATCATGCGGACGCTGCAGAAAGAAATCGACGACCGGCTCCAGCATAAAGTAGATGAACGCTTGAATTATTGTGTTTAATTATTCATTTACATCCAACTTACCTTGCTGCATCCAGGCTTCCATCTCCTACGAGGACCTGAACAGTCTGGAGTACCTGGACCAGGTTCTGTGTGAGTCGCAGCGAATACTCCCCACTTTGCCTCGACTTGAGAGGATATGCAAGAAGACGATGGAGATTAACGGCATCACCATCCCAGAGGGAACGTTGGTTGCGATCCCAGCGCATCTGTTGCACAAGGATCCGCGGTACTGGAGCTCGCCCGAACTCTTCGTACCAGAGAGGTACTTTTAGTTGGAGTTGGTGGTTTTAGAGAAGAGTTATGGGTTCAACACAATCGAACGACACCAAACTTTTTATGAGCTCTACAACGCTCTGGTGGAGCCAGCTGCACATTGTCCAAAAGAGACAAAGCGACTACTTTCCACTTCATCGTTTTCGCCAATGAAGTGGTGTTTTCAATTGGCGTGTTGTTTCCATTAAGCAAGTTCGTTTTTGTGATTTCAAGTTGCGCAAATTTATGGTTAATGGAAAAGCAGTCACTGATTTATTGTTCCTGACGTCTAGAGAGAAAAACAAAAACAGCTCTCAGTTGCAAGACGATTTAAAAATAATAATAAAATGTAACAGACACTTTAATCTGGTCCCTGCAGGTTCAGTAAGGAGAATGAGAAGGATCTGAACCCGTACGCGTACATGCCCTTCGGACTCGGCCCGCGTAACTGTGTCGGGATGCGATACGCCATCCTGGTCATGAAGATGCTCGTCGTGCGCATCCTGCAGAAATACTCTGTGGAAACGTGCAGAGACACTTTGGTAAGCCTGGAATAATCCGGCCGTTCTGCTCTGCCGCCGTGTCAGCGTTTCATTTCCAACCGTTTCCGCTTTCAGATCCCCATTCAGTTCGACTGGAAGTTCCAGCCAGTCAAGCCTGTGACGCTGAAGTTTGTTCCCAGAGAACTGTAATGGAAGAGTTTTGGGAGTTTTTTAATAATCCAAATGGATGATTGGTTCTGAATGCCGTGTGATTTCGCCACTGCTGAGATTTTCAGAATGCTGCATAAAGTTCTTCACTGCTTTTTCCCCCTCAAAAATACTTTATTAACCCTGAAGGAAAATTAAATGTTGTAACTCACTTAGATCCTTCAGTTACAGAAGAGAACATCCTGACTTAAAAATAATTATGTAAAACCTGATGGTTTTTAAATAATCAACATTTCTTGGAATCAAAAATGAGGACTTCTAGTCATAAAAAATACATATGTATGTAAATCAGTCATAAATAGCAGTAATAACCTTTCATTTGACATTTTAAACCCAATTCTGTGTTTCTGCTACACGTAGCTGATGTGTGTAGTTGTTTAAAAACAAATTCTTTAACAAAATGAATGACGGAAAAATTATTTTTTTATTAACCAAAAACGTTTCTGTCAACATATAGGCCCCAGATTTCAATGAAACTAAAAAGTAAAAACTACAGCTGCTTGTGAATAGATGGACAGTTTCTTTCTTTTTTTATATTTCCAATAGGTTCAGCAGAGCTGGACACAAAAGACAGACAAAAAGTGAGACGGGTAAATTCCATCTACATACGTGAATGAAAACATAAGGCTTTATTGGTATTTTTTTTTTTTTTTGTGCAACTAAATAAGTATAATTTATTGTCAGTTAAACTATCACAACATAAAAACCAGGAGTGATATACTGTTTTACTTGAATATTCAGATAGGATCCAGCTGTGTTGGGCTGTATTAAAATCTCTGGGGGAAAAATAATAATAATTACTGTGAAACAGATTTCTGGGGTTTCCTGATTTGCATTAAATTCAAATTTTACTATGGAACATTTGTAGTAAATTTCACATTCATGTTAACATCTTGATGAGTTAACATTTACAGGGTGAAATATTTATTCACATCAAAGCCATCTTTAGCTAATTTCCTTATTTGATTTTTTTTTTAAAGGATAATCTTAACTTGTACCATATACAAAAAAATTTCCCCAAACCAGTCATTGCTTTTCAGGAAACCCCAGTAGCTCTAAAAAAAGAGTGTCCAGCAGAGGGCGCCAAAGTGGTGTACTCGTTAAAACAGCAGTTGCATTACTGATAAAGCTCTGATTTTGTCCTGCCGCACAAAGTTTCTGACAAAATACCTTTGCTTGACCTTTTCTTCTGTAACATGTTCATTTATAATAAACCTAAAATATTCAAATTACATCTGGGTGCCAGAGCACCAAAGCAAAGGAAACTCAAATGATTGAGCTGGGGAAAAACAAGAAAAGAATTCAGTCCCTTAAAAATAATACTTGACAAAAACTTGCAAACAGTGCTACATTTGTAAAGGTGTCCAAGTATTTATGTGGTGGAGGAAGATGTGGCCCAGAAGTTAGCTCGATGCTAATCAGTTTCGAAAAGAGACTCCTGCACACTGAAAAAGAGAAAAGTACAGATACAAAAACAAAATTGTTTTGAAGAGTGGAATACAAAACTGAGCAACTACTGCTTTAGAAAAAGAAATGACATAAAACGTGTAAAAAAGAAAGAAAAAAGTTCAAACTACAAAGCCTTTAAGAGTCCTGAGTTTGTCGAAAAATAAACAAAGCTGACCAAAGGCCAGAATTTCATAAAAATCAGAATACAGCAGAACAGGATTTGTCAGAAACGGTGAGTCCAAACGTCCGACCAGCACGCCTGCGGCTCTGGCTTTGGAGCAGAACTCGCCCTGCGGTAGTTAAATCCCATTGCTCTTTGAGGAAAATTAGCACCTTCCTGTGAAATGCAAAGCTCTTACTTTTATTATTTTTGTCAGTGTGATGATGAACATGTGTGGCATAAAAACCCCTCAACACACAGTGTTTTCGTTTGTTTGATGCGACATCACTACTTTGGAGGAAAATAATTGGTGCAGGCTGATCTCTGGTCAGTTAAGACAAAAATAAAAATAAATTCTGTAATTACCATACAACATTAGTGTGAATTTCAATTTTACTTTGATTTAAAATACAAAAAAAATATTAAACGTCGTCATACCTGCTAAATGTATAGGTTCCATAAAAACGTACCTGGTTTAAAGGCACCATGGCAGCTGCTACTTAGAAAGCATCACTGCCTTAACCTTTGACCCGAAACACTTTAGGAAAAACGTTTCTTTGAGTTGGTTGATGAGTCAGTATGAATCATCAGATTGTTGCGTTTTGTTTCCTGGGTACATTTTTTACGACCTGAGCTACCGCTAAGTGTTTCACCGGAAATAAAATACAAAAAGATTTGGCTGATCCTATAACTTTACCCGTCAGCGGCATCTGGCAGGCTGAATCAACTCGACTGCAGAACTGCTTTTATCTGCAGGAAATTCCCACTGAGATAAAAAAAAAAAACTGTCATTTACGAGACGAGACATTTAACAGCCTTGAAGGAGACACGGAAACCACTGCGCTGATGGAATCTCTGGTAAAGACGCCAGGAAAGCCCTACAACAAATTCTGCTCTAGAACAGCAGCATAACTTCATATTAAACGCATTAAAAACATGCAACCTGAAATTAAGAGCAGATCCGATCGGTGGTAGGAAATGACGCTACAAAAATATTAAATCTTACAAAGTGTTTTTGTTCTAGTTTCTTGTGTGACTGTCTTAGTGGACTTGAAATAAGACAAAACTAACTTACAAGTAACAGTTCAGCAAGATATAGGAGCAATAATTCCTTAATATTGATTAAGAAAAAATACTATTTCCATTGCCAAACATTTTTTTACTCAAACTGCCATTGTAACTAGTAGCTTTTTTAAATCAATATTAACAAATTATTGACAAATAAAAGCTCCTATATCTTGCGCAAAACTTACTTATGAGTTAGTTTTGTCTTATTGAAAGCCCTTTGTAAGGTTTTGTGTTTTTGCAGTCACTTAATACCTTCTTGAAGTTCAGCTCATCAGATGACGGCAGACAAACTTTTGATTACGAACTCGTGGTCTTAGATGAAAAATGTGATGTGGCACAGAGCCGCTCTTCAAAAGAGGAAAGACAAGAGAACACGGCGCTAAAGAAAGATGGCGCTCGCTGATGTTCGAGAAAACAACTTCTCTCCTCGACTTGCTCTCGCTTGCGGTCAGAACAATCACAGACATTTAGAACAACCCGGTTATTGAGGAGGATTTACAGAAGGCCCTAAAGCAGCTTTACCAGGGATTCAGGTTGTAATCAGCAGCGACAGAAACTTAATTTAACCAGACATTTGCCTCAAAATGATTGGACAGGTATAGGTAAAAGATTATTTTTAAGCTTATTGACATTTTCCATGAAAAAAAAAAAACACTTTTAGAAAATTGTTTAAAATAAAGAGAATTTTTCCATGACAATGTACTTAGGAGTTTATAGTTTGCGACTGCTCCGGAGATGTTTTTACACTCTAACCAGGTGGAGGGGGTGACAAGTAAATGCTGGTACAACCTGCCTGTGGTTTGCAGGTAAAGGAGAAACGAGTGGAAATGGGTTGAGTTTTCAGGGGGGTGTGGGGATCAGTGAGAACCGCTCCGCAGGTCCAGACGGGGCTCAGATTGTCCCGATGCTCCCACACGGAGCGAGTCTGAATTGACGCTCTGACATGACTCTTGGCTGTGGCTGCTGCGGTTTCTCCATTAGGTCACCGTCTCTTTAAGAAAGGGGGGGGCGAAGGCCCGGGGTTTTCCCCCACCCCCTGCTTCTACCTGCGGGGCTGAGGGCGACAGTGTCGAGGCAGAGAGGAGGGGGAGCCGGAGGAGGCGGAGGGCGACATGGAGGCCAGGGAGGCGGTGGCGGCGGCGTCCTCGGCCTCCTCCAGCTCTCCGGCCGCACCGTGGAGCTCCTGGCTCACGCTGGACTGTAAGGCAGCAGGGGTCAGCCATTCTTTGGGCAGGCAGCTCTGGAGGAACGGCACGCAGGAGCTGAAGTAGGCCAGGCGGTTGACCCAACGAGGGATCTCCCTGCCACAGAGGATCTACAAAGAAACATAAAAAAAAAAAGAACAGAAGAAGAAAAGTTTAGGTAATGGTTCAAAACAAATGCAAAAAAAACTTGCTTTGCTCGCCGTGAGAGGATGAAGGGCTAAAGTCTTTCCTCTGTGCTGTTCTGGATCAGACTTGCAATATTACTATTGATGCTTTTTTTTTTTTTTTGCAGAGTACTACTTAATACTGATAAGTTTTCTCATACCACATCTAATTTCCGATTTTAATTTATTCTTTTCTCGTTTTCTCTTAAATAAAAAGGAAAGAACAAAATGCAGAAATCTTTTTTTTTTTTAATTGGCTTCTATTGCAATCATTCTTCCTGTGAGCTGTGCAACAAAGTATTGGGGCCAGAATACAATTAGTTTTTTGTTAATTATGAGAACATAGTCATGATGTTAGAGGAAAAAAAACAGATGAAAGTCTTTACCTCACGAGAAATAAGTGGTTCAATAAGAAAAAAGTCTGAATGATGAATTTTTTATTTGTCCTTTTAGAGTTTTCATAAAACAAGTGCTTCATTTTCCTAATATGAAGATTGTATTCTTGTAATTAAAAAATATTTAAAAATTTAGCCAATTTTTCTTTTGTTTTTGAAATAAAGATATATAAAGACCTGGCGACATGTAGACAAGAATATCAGTGTTTTTCTGGTTAAACAAACATTTTTTTTATTACTTTGCCAATTTAATTTGCATTATATTGAGGTGGAGCAAGATGAAGGTTAATTGCCTCATCACATGTTTTGACACGTAAAGAATCCGCACCGCCCTCCATATAACAATCCACATGATGTTGCACGTACAAAGCTTTCCCCTCTTCTCTTCTTTGTCTTCCTAAGGTTGTCGGAAAGCAGCAGCCAATCCATAAATATCTCGATTTACACACACACACACACACACACTTGCTCTGCTCATGGCAGATATGATGACCTTTTACAGCCGACACCGATTAGTGTAAAACGGGGGACAAAGAAGAAAGAAAAGAAAAAAAGAGTGGGGACTTTTTGAACACTGCAGAGCATCACTGCGTGTTTTACTCTATTTTAACAGTGAAGAGCTCCTTTCCCTGTTTCCTCAACATAACGACTCACCGATGGATGCAGTTTGTGCCCTGTCTAATTCTATGAACCTTGCTTGCTTTGGGACATCAGATAAAACTGTTTCATCACGCCAATGAGCTTGTTCTGTCTTGATCTGAGCAGATGTCTGCTATGATATGATACGGAAATAGGAGGCAAGACACAGAAAGAAAGCGCGAGCAAATATAAATGCCTGCAATATATGAAAAAGCTTCCCTCTCTAACTGAAACCGCCAAAAGGTGTTTTATGACCAGGATTTATCTTCCACAAATTATCTACTGAATCCAAATATATCCAGATCATAGATCTGTATAGAAAGACTACTCTTTCTAGAAACATTTGTCTATTTGTGAAAAAAGGACGAGAGAAGTAATTATAACATTTGATCTGATCTTCTTTCTCCGTATAAGAGTCCCATCCTGAGGGAAACGCTTCACCTTCCTGGGGAGGTGAAGTTTAACAATGTTTTGTTAAACATTTTAACGGGACTGGTACTACGTTTTGTGTCTATGTGTGAATGTTTGAACCCTCATCTGTCATTTTCTTAGAGAGGATTTCTCTGTGTGGCATTTACAGCACGTATGTGCCTTTTGGGTGTGTGTGTGTGCGTTTGTGTGTGAGTGTGCGCCTGCCAGCTGGCCCTGCATGTTCAGGCTTGTATCAGTGTCCTAATCCCCATCTGAGAGGTAGTTGCTAACTGTAAGACTCCCAGCTCATTAGTCACTCCACCATAAGCTGATTGAAGACACACACACACACACACACACACATACATACATATATAGACATGAATCTTTTAATGTAACAGCATCTAGTTATTTATGCACTGACAAAGTTACCATGACATCACCATTAGTTCAACAAAAATGTAAGTCTTAGGCTGTTCCAATGAAAGGGAGTCAACACATCGTCATAATACAGTCAGTTGTGCAAGCTTGTGGTTCTTTCTGTTTTTGTACTCCACCTCTGAAAGTGTTGAGGAAAAGTGGTTGCAGTTCTTGTGCATGAGGTGGTAGGCGTTGCCCTTGTACTCCTTCCCCATCTCCTCCACGATCCGCTCCACGTCTTCCTCCGTGAAGTCTGTGCTGCCCAGGATGATGGCTTCCCTACACACACGCACACACACACGAAGCTCAAATAAAATCAACTGGATAACGACTCACTTAAAAATATTTGTCAATATTTAGTGAAACATTTAGATTCAACGTCAGAATTTTATTGTATTTTTGTTCCAAGAGGCGCACTTCCCTCCACTCCCCCAGTTTGCGATCAACAATCAGCCAGCTTTAGTCCACCATTTGCTCCAGATGATCCAAACTAACGCCTACTGGTCTGTACAAGGACATTGTGGAAGTGTGTTTGTGTGTGGGGACGAGTCTCTAAAGCCACAGGGCAGATCAACTAGAGCAGAACTAACACACAGCAGCTCTGGATAAAGAGGCTCTTCCAACGTACTGAACCTACTGATCCTCTGCTGTTTCAATCAACTGCGGAGGAAATCATCCAAAATAAAAACCCTTTGCTGTGGTAGCTAAAGTATAAAGTATGATTATTTAATCTTTTTTTTTTTGTTGTTTTACTATAACATTTGAGTATGCAAATATTTTAACTGTGGTTGGTTTTTATTTGATCTGTTCATTTCATCTACAGTAGATTATTTTGTCGTCAGTCCAAAGTTGACCTGAGCTCTTTACTCGGGAAACAATGACTTAGTCAGACTTTGCCATTTGTATAACAATTGTTGACTTTCATAAACTGCCATAAAACATCCGACAGGCACATAATATATCTTTGAAAACCCTCCAAAAATCGTACTTACTTGAACTTAAACGTTTCGCCGAGTTCAGTGGCATCGCCCGGAGTGATCTCAAAGATCCCTGAGAACGGGTATGGGTGTCCACCATAGGCAAACTCTTAAGCACAGAAGAAAATTATGTTTTTAGACATGTCTGACAAGAAAAATCGATATGCATCATTATACATCCTGATCTTCAGGAGCATCGTCCTTGAAAAAAACTTTACCTCTTCCATAGATCTCAATCCCTGAGTGAAAGACTCCAATGCCCAGAGAGCTGGTGAACTCATTGATCCAGTACTGCAGGCAAAGGAAGGTGAAAAGATTAAGTCACAGTCTGTAGTTGACGCTGCATGTAAGTGTAGTTTATGGTTTGTTTGGGGAGGCGTGAATGTGTCTTGGTCTGGTTGAAGAGAACTCTGGTGCAGACTGAATATGGAAATGCTAAGCGAATCAGAGACCACTCCAAAAGGAGGAAGTAGACTGTTGCGTTGGGCATCCTAAGTAAATACAACCACAACAAAAGCGCGAGTTTGGCGCTAGCGGGAGAAGTGGCCCGTGACAAAATAGAAATCCTACAACTGCTAAAGTCCGACCTCACCCCCATTTTTCTGTACGTATTGGTAAGGAAGAAGGTTGGGCTCATGTTTTCTTCAGAGGTTTTTGTGTCATTTCCTTCGACGGTTCTTCGTATAGCACCACCACATTATTATCAAATCATTGTTGTAGACACATGTTTTAAGCCCTGGAAGCTTAAAACATTACAGCTAACTAATGTGCCGAGTTCATTTGTGCACGTTGTTACTGCAAGGATGCCATATTTGAAATATATTCCGCACCTATAGGATGCACATTTATTTCCTAAACCGAAGGCATTGGTTTTTGTCACTGACACAAAAAAAACGTGAACATTTTTGTGCACAGTCTGATAAAATCTGCAATGCAATTCTACCACAAACAGCAGCAGAAGAGACAATCAACCACAGTGCAATGCAACTATATTGTTATTTCAGTATAATAATGTGTGGTCACATGCTCTGCTACATATTAGTACACCAGTTCTTTTTTGCTACTATACATTTTAAGCAAGCCAATAAACTTCCATGTATTAGATCTGGTACTAAAAAAAGATAAATAGTCCAAAAACCAAAAGAGAACAATGCCTCAGTTTGTCATTTCTAACATTACCACTGATAGTGTTTTGGCTCCACACAGCACTTTAATAATCAGCGTACACAAGTGGTTATCAGCATAAGTTGCAGGATTTTGTTGGTCATTTACGCAACCCAAAGATAAAAACAGCCTTCGTCAAGCTTATTGTCACACTACAGAAAAGCGCCGGCTCTGATGTGTCTTTTAGAAACTTGATTTGTGAAATAAAAACAAGAGAAACTGTGTATTGCGTTCTACACAGGACACTTCTTGCGAAGAGTTATAAAATCTTGAAAGCGGCTGTGTTTTTGTGTGAGTAAGTGAGTCAATGAGTGTCTGGGTATATTTCAAAGAAGGTTATTGCAAGTAATCGGAAAATGATTGCTTTGAGTCTTCACAAGTGAGACATTTCATATGCAGGGACAAACATGTAAAGATGAATAAAGGGATGTTTGCTGTATGTTTTTGGTTTAATGCGTTATTTTTTCAAACGATGTATGTCACTGCTCTGAAGTTGTTGATGAAGACAGACTAAATGAGAGACCAAAAGGAAGTTACCACTAACCACAGGTGTTCACGATTGTGTTTGTTTTAGCTTTTGGCCCCAAAAGTTAGTTTATATTTTGTTCAACCAATATACAAAGCTTTGTTCTCTACCTTAATGTTTCAGAGGACAAGGAAAGGGACTCCTACTGGTTTTTAAATTGTTTAGATGAAATGATAATGTCCAAATGCTGTTGGACATGTACAGCTTAGGCTTTCTGACAGAAACAGATATGATGAAACCAATTTATTTTTCCTATTTGTCTAAAGCTGAGTGATCAAACATTTTGGCACTTTCTTCATATTTGGCTCGAATCCTTTACAATATCTCAATCCTAATAATACAATTCTGCCTTTAAAAATTTTGTAGAGATACATTGAAGAGAAAATTGTGCTGATATTCATACAATGGCCAATAAAACTGATATTCAATATTTTATATTTATGTGCACACCTTTGACACCTTTGTAAAAGCGAACACATGACCTACATCGCAGCTCTGCTTTAGTTTGGGCTTATTCACACCAGCCCCGTCTGGTCTGCTTTCAACAAATGAGTTCATTTGCCTTGACAGTCCAGTTTGTTTGGATAGGTGTGGCTGTGCAATCAATTTCTGATGCGGACCAAAAAAGCAAACTGGTCAGCCTACAAATCTACGTCTCGGTTCAGGAGAAGTGAACTCTGGTGTGGTTTGATTGCATTTGTGAATGTCAAGCAGACTGGAGAGACACTTGTTTAGAGATACTTAGCGACTCATGTTGTATGCTTCAGTTTCTTAGAGCAGTCCCACCAAAGGTGAGTGAGCAAGTTGCTCAAAGGGTTTGGTTTGTCTGACACAGTGTAGTGTGAAAGTGAAGCGCAACAACTGGGAATATAACAAATGTTGCAATTTTGAAACTAAAATTGCAACCAACCAAGTCTACCGCAATTGTTTTTTTTATGGTATCCTTTATGCATATGCGTCTTCACACCTGCGGAGCACTTCACATCGAGGGGGCGTTACGGACAGGTTTCACTTTAACACTTGGTTTAAAAAAGTGCCAGTTCAAGACACTCCGGTCACTGGTGTTGTGCACATGAGCAGCTGGATCCCAACAAAAATGTTACAGTTTAACTAAAGAGTGACTCTGCGTAGAAGCCAGACTTTACTGGAACAATTTTGGATCCTTTTGTCACTTGTTGGAAATGCATGGTTCCAAAAATGGATCTTGAACCATTAAAATAAGGTTGAATGCCAGGACCATACACCACAGGATTAGGGGCAGCAAAAGAACAGACACTGTATAATTTCTCTCTTCCAATCTACTGTAGTAGCACAGCAATTTCGTTAACACTCTACTTCTGCAGTGATCAAGGTTTGTCTCAAAGTGTTTTTGCTGCATCACCAGACTTTCGCTTTACCTCATCGATCAGACGGCACAGAAGACGAGGAATCTTGGTTGCGACACACTTTACCTCATGCAGTAAAGGATCTGTGGACAACGCAAGAAACACGACCTCCTCAGCTACATTACACACCTAAACCCAATATCCTAGCATGACTTGTCAGTGAGAAAACATGTTCGATACACTACTGGTCTGGCTGACAGTCTGGCAGGCAGACAGGTGGTGTAAAGATAATGCTCTCTCATTAGAGTGCTGTACTAAAGCACTCAGAGCTGGCCAGAAAATCCACTTAGCAGCAGGAACAGGACGGTTGTAGGGGGGGCTGGATGTGGAAGAAGGAGAGAGAGTGGACGGGGGCCTGTGCTTGTGTCTGCACATACATTCCTGAAAATCACGTGAGGATATTGATCCTCCCATGGAAAGATGACTTTTCATCAGGCTTTTTAGGTACAGACAAGAAGGATATTGGCAAAATGTCAAATGTCCTTGCAGTGCTTGGAGATAAATAAACTGATCAACCAGACAAGACATTGGAATCAGTGCAATCGTCTCTGCTCTGTAATCAGCTGGTCAACACTTGAAAATATGATCTCACTGTAGTTTTGTAACTTAGTTTATTAGATTTAAACTAAGAACTCCAACAATCTGACACATTTATTTTGAGTTTCTAAGAGATCAGATAAAGGCTTGGAACATATTGCTAAAGAGGAATCATTTTGTATGAAATTAATAAATCTGCTGTTGGATTTGAAACAACTACCGCAACAAAAGAAACCGCAGCTTATTCTCATATCCGTTTCATATTTCTGGAGCAACGACAAATCGGTCAAAGCTTGAATTGGCAGAATTTGGTCAATTCCAGCCAGGAAAAACCTGGTAAATCTCTACAACAGGGGAATTTATTATTGTCACATTGGTAAATCCAATACTTTGTGACTATTGTGCTCATCGGGATATTTGAAAATATATATATATTTTGGACTGATTTTGAAGCACCAGCTCTGCGTCCCACGGATTCAGCAACTACAAATGGTCTAATTAAAACTGGGTCATTATTGTCCAGCATGAACAATGAACTTCCTGTACAACTTCAGCTGAAGCTATTCTTGGGGTGTAGCGATGCAGTTATTCAATTACCCACCCCCACTGTTTACCATCAAGATTAATGTGAGTGTAGCAGTGTAGAAACAGACCCAGTGGCATAAAAATGAAGGTCAGTCTCACAATTCGCAAGCATTTTCGAGCGAACTACATAGTCTGAGATATACAAGCATCGGATCATTTACTGCAATAAAATATATTCAAATCTGACCAGTACAAGGAAGCTGAAACAGGTTCTTGCAACCCTGCAGACAATGAGTCAGTCTACAAACAGAATCAGTCAGAAAATGACTTAACAAGCCAACATGCAAATCACTCATCCGGTACCGACCATAACTAATCTGGAGAGCTCCAAAGCCTTAATCACTCCAGAGGGAAATGTTTGGTTTTGCTACGTTGAATACGATATCAAAATTAAACCGCAAGACAAAAGAAGTCCTTATTTTAACATGCATTTTTATATTTAAAGATAGCCACGTGTGCTGAAATGACAACGTGAGAAGCTGAGGCACAAAACTGAAAAATCTATTTGCAATCCTGTTCCTTTGGAAGAACACACAGTTTCAATTGCTCATTTTCAAACCAATCATATAGAGTTTAATAAGGAGAGGTCATTAATATGTATCTCTAGGTTTTTCCAGGTAGATGGCAAAAACTTGAGAATAGATTCTGACCAGCTTGCAGCTTGAAGTTTAGCACAAGTTAAGAAAAGAACGTGCAGGAGGAGATCTGGTCAAATCAGCACAAAACTGAACTTCTGGGATACGCTACAAAATAAGTCGGTAATTAGTAATGTACCATAAGACACTCTTCATCCAGTGGGACTGAGTTTTCAGTCTGTGCAAAGCTGGTAGAGAAGTAACCCGAAAGACGCAATTCTTGTAGTTCCACAAACTGCTGACTCAGACGGGGCAGAATACCAATGGGAGTCACACTTCTCCCACCGAACCCTGTGCAAAGAGTCATGCATCATTTCCTTCTCCTTCACAACTACTGTGCAAAAACGGACTGAAATCATAAAATATCGTAATGACGCGGAGGGAGCATGAGAAAATGTGAAAATGCTCACAAGGTGTTAGATAGCCGCTTCACCCAGCTAGGAGTCAAAGACACCAAGGGTTTAAGGTTCATGTTTTAGAATGGCCAAGTCAAAACCCAGACTTAAATCTAACTACAGTAAGTTGAACACTTCTGTTCAAAGACGCCATCCGTTCAATCGGACTAAGCTCGCACTATTCCACAAAAAATGGCTGAAAAGAAGTCTGTCTCTATACGTGCAAAGCAGGTAGAGACACAACCCAAAAGACCGGCAAATTGTCTTGCAGAATGGATACAGCTGCTTCTGTCAGGGGGAACGTGTTGCATGCAAAACTATGTCAGCTTCTCTGCAGCCAGCCGGTAGTAAAACTGATGAAGAGATAAAAGCTTTTCAGAATTTACCGAGAAGAAACGACTGCAGCCAGCAAGTCAAGTGAAACGCCAAAGGAAGTGAAAGAGGGGAGAAGAGAAGGCAGAAAGACGAAAGAAGTAGATGAGCTGGGATAGCAAAGAGATGACAAGGACAAGATGGGGAAGGAGAAAGGCAGGAAGAAGAAAGAAACTGGTAGAAGTTTCAACCATGTGATAAAGGGGACAGATTTCTACAAGATCTCGAATCTTTTCATCTCTGCTTTATTGCCATAGTAAACTCTGTAGACTATTCAAAACAAGTTAATTGTTCTTTAACAGGAATGGCAATTCTGTCTGGAGAAAATGTTTAGGAAGCTGCGGTTTTTACGGTCGCCAAACTTTATCCTAAAGTGCTGCTTCATGGTTTTATAGTCTGTCAATGACTATTTTGAGTGTAATCAAATCGCCACAGGGAATGTCCACAGTAATCAATGATTCATCAACAGATCAATTAGCAAAACCCTAATCACCGACTCGGCCCTAAGTGGTGACAGCATTGTTACTCAAATTCATCCTCGGTCTCACTTTGCACCAAAAACAACTGCATATTTTCCTCTCGGGTAGAAACAGTTGTCATCTTCCACGTGTTTGACATAAACTTTGGTTCCTGCTAAGGTTGCAAATGTACTTCACAATACAACACACTGCATCTGTCACATAAAAAACAAAATCAAACAAGGGACTTCTCTTTTAAGAATGGCTGTAAAACGAAGCCTGTTTTACTTCGGCAAAATGTTCCATTTTATTTTTTTTGATAAACTGTGGAATATTTTTCCTCCTTCCTTCCTGATATGAAAAGTCTGGAGAGAGAAAACAAAGGTATCAGTTTGAAATCATCTTCCTCATAGTGATTCTTCAGTTGTAATTTGAAAACTCAGCTATGATCTGGTTACACTGACTTAACACAGCAACAAAGCTTGACAGTAAAACTTCTCTCTGAACCACAGAATTATATGAAAACATAAATAAAAGCAGAAGGGTAGGCCATACAATGCTGTGAAAGTAAACTTAAGCCATCTATACATTTAAAAAACATATATTATTAGCCTGATTAGTTCCCATCTACATGGTTACAAGTGGTTTTTGCTAGGTGCTTGAAGACTAACTATAGATGTGATTTTATAATAAAAGTGGGATGAAAAATGTGAATTTAAAATAGAAAAAAAATTCTAATAATACTGATAATAAATCCAATATGTTTTGATTTTGATCAAGTCTGACAGGCTTTCTCAGACTCTGATGGAGTAAAACACAATGACAGACAGAGGGACCATTTTAGCTGCAACGGGTTCAACCTGATATAGTGGAGCCAGAATATGTCTGACTCCATAAACCTTAATGGATGTTAATGTGTGTGCTAACGTAAATGTTGTCAAGGATTTTGACTCTATCCAGAGCTCAGATCTACTTTTTTCCCCCTCATTAAACTTTTCCATCTGACTGATTCCTGTATATGACGTCACACAAACTAGCACTGCCATGGTCCTCATGAATTAAATACTCCATAAAGTATATAAGAACAGAGGATTTTGTTTTGTAAATGCATAAAAGAGTAATTCACTTCCTACAGCTGACCTTCATGTGGTCGTCTTAATGAACTTGCATTTGTTTTTCCAAGAGAAGGCAGATGGGGAAGAACTGAACTGGTAAAAAGTTTCAACAATGTGATGAACGGGACAGATTTCTACAAGCTCTCGAAGAAACACAAAGTGCTGTCAGTACAAACAATGTGTCCTACAACAAGAGACCTTATTTGTTGTTGTTTTTAACATGGGGTGAACTAAATCACTGTTTTAAATCGTACTCCAATTTCAAAATTCTGCAAAGGAAACAATAAAACTTCTTCAAGGTGTGCCCCACCCACCTGCCCTCCTAGTGGACACCATTACAAAACCAATCTGCTGCAGGTCCTGTTCACGTCTACAAATACATTTCGACAGCTGAACTGTATTATTGCTCTAACAACATGGGTCCCAAAGAACCTTAAATGTTTGCATATGCGCAAAAGTATTTTTCCTTGAAGAAAAAGATGCTTTTCAGCTCCTATCGCAAACTCCGTTTCTCGAACGAACCAAAGAAATGTCTTCAATATCTTTTTTTTTTCTTTCTTACCATGTCATAAACGTTCAGGATGATCGGCTCGTTTGCCATCACTGGCATCAGGATCTCGGCCCCCTTCGCCCCTTCTTCCCCGCGGCTGTTTCCTCCTCCTTCTCTCGGTGCGAGATCCCAACTCTCGCCCTCCTAAACCGCCTCGCCGCCGTCACTTTCACGAGCGGTGCTCAGTTTGAAAAGTCGACTTCAAAAGCCGGCCTGAAAACGCGGAGAGTCGCGGACATTTATCCAACCGTCCAACATCTGACTGGCTTTGTCCAATTCCCCGCTGAAGGGGGAGCAGCAGCGGCGGCAGCGGCGGACAGATGAGCCTCTTCGGTATCAAAATGAACCAACTGCTAAAACCCGCTCGGCTGCCGACTTGTTCTCCGTTAAAAGCGAAAAAGATTGGTTTCATCCAGCTATTCTATTAAACAACATACTTCTAAGATTTAAAAACGCAATTTACTGTGAAAGGGAGGGAAAAAAAGAGAAAACCCCACTGCTACCGTTAGCCGCGGTAGCAGTGGATGCGACCGTTGCGAGAGCGTTTGGCTGTTTCTGCGTTCGATTGTTCAACCTCACCCTGACAGGCATTATGGGTAATGCAGTTCATTCCAGAAGATTGGATTAGGCGAGGCAAAACTTGAGGTGTGCAACACACATCAAAACTGTTTCTAGATCAGATTAAGCAAATTAACGTCGAGCCTTTGAAACTACACTGCTCAGTTTCAATTCGGATCAATTTAGAATGTATGTAATTGACTTTTAATCTGCCTATTTGACTGGCTTTAATTAATTTTCCTTTGTACAGTGCCTTGAAGTGACTTTTGATGTGTTGGCAGCACTATATAAACTCAATTGAAAAGGAACTGAATCAAAGCCTACCTCATTAATAACACTAACAGTTTTGTTGAGTCGTGGTCAAATATCCATTCAGATATGCCAGCCTAAATTGTTGATGACTAAAAAGAGCACGAGGTTGGACTACACTGAAGGGGACCTTTTATCAAATCATGTTACATTTGTTCTGCCAAGAAACCGAGTTTCATCCTTCACTCAGTATTTCATAATTATGAAGTCAAAACAACATCTACCACTGTCACTTACCTAGTAGACAATTTGAAAAACTTGAAAGTAAAATCATGACAAGCCTTCAAAAAATTATAACTTTTCACTTGTACAAATCCATGTAGTCAAGGTCTAAAGTCTTTCAATTTGAAGAAGCTACTTCAACTTCAGTTCATTGCACAGTGGCAAATAATAATGAGAATTCAAGGTGGAGTGCAAGTGATCAATATCCCAATGTTGCATTAAAACATTTCCTCTCCATCTGTGGCTGTACTTATGGTTCCTGATTGCACTCTTCCAGCAGCTCCATGAGCGTCTCCTGATTGGAGAATTCCTGCAGCGAGGAGTTCATCTCGTTCAACAGGTCCCCCCCCAACAGGAAGTCCCTGACGTTGTGCATCGTCATGCTGATGCGGTGGTCTGTCACGCGGTCCTGAGCGTAGTTGTAGGTCCGGATCTTTTCCGCTCTGCCTTTGGTGCCGACCTGAAAAAGAAACAAGAGGCGACATATCGTGTTTGGTCATTTTGCACACATCTCAAACACCTCACATGAATAGTTCTTCATACCATCATCAAAAAGTTATTGTAGTTGGTCTATTTTTTTTTGTCAACAGTGAGGTATAAAAACCTAACATTTTAAATCTGTCATTAATTAAATCAAACTATTTTTAAACAAACAGAATCTTACTTGGACTTTGCGTTGGTTGTAGCGCTTGCTGGTCTCTTCCTCCAGCTTCATGCTGTACAGTTTTGCTGTCAGAGCCTTCATGGCTTTCTCCCGGTTCTTCAGCTGGGAACGCTCCTGTTGGCACTCTGCAACCAATCCTGACAGACACAAGCCAATATTTAAGAACTTATTCTCTTCATTTAGGGCTTGATTAAGAAAACCTTGCATTTCATTCTTAATTTTTCTTAAGAATCAAAATGACTGTAAATTCCAGTGGGGATACGCAAAAGCAGCTATGGAAGTTAAGTTCCTCAGAGTATCAAACCAAAAATGCGTTATATTTGGTTTTCAGTAATGCGCTTTACCTGTTGGAAGATGGACTATTCTGACTGCGCTGTCTGTTGTGTTGACGTGTTGACCACCAGCTCCACTCGCTCGTTTCGTCTCTATCCTCAGATCCTTTGGGTTTATGGTGAAAGAAATCTAAAAAGAAAAAAAGTGAGTCAGAGGATAATCAGCAAAACTGCAAATCTTGCAGAAACTACACAGACTTCTGATAACAGAAGTATGGGAAAAGAAGTAGGGCCTCTGAAAAGAAAAAAATTTTTTTTCTCAGAATTCAAACTTTTGATCACAGATGAATCCAGAAAGAAAAAGTCAGAATTCTATTTATTTTTTCCTCAGTGGCCCTAATCATCTAATGTAACATACTGTAACGTTTGATGAAATTCAAACAAATGGTCCAAATCCAAATGTATCTTTGTTATTTTTCTGTAATAGAAACATCATTTCAACATTCCCACTGGCATGCATCATATTCACTAAACAGCATGCTCGAATTTATGCACCAATTTCTATTCAGATTTGTCTGTATTGACTGTCCATGTTTTTATCATGTGTAAAAATTCAGCCGCACCTCAGTTGGTTGGGGCAGCACAGCCACAGTCATGGTGCTGGTGTGCATCCTTCCCTGTTTTTCAGTCTTGGGAACCCTCTGAACTCGATGAACTCCGGCCTCAAACTTCATCTTCTTGTAGCTGTGCGGGCCGCTGATGCTGGCTGACGCGTGCCGCAGTCCGCCTGGTAACATTGAAGCAGGCAGCACCGCAGATTGGTAAAAGGCTTTACGTGAACACGTATTCAGGTTCGGGGATCCTACTACTGCAATGAGATGCTGTGAAGTTCTGTTGAAACTTTTTTAGCAGTTAATATCTTACCGACAGCAGATAACGCTTTTGATGTCTTCTGTAAGTCTGAATTCAGATTAGATGGTAATGGAGGCTAAAGGCTAAACACCAAAGACTTCAAAAACAAAACAAAAAAAACCCTTCACTTCAGTTCATGGAAACTCTACTTTTATTTAACTTCAAACCACCGTCACATTTTCATATAATTATTCGCACAGAATGCGACCGATATGGTCACTGGAAAAGGGGGACAGGAAGCGGTGCGTCACCAAAGGTATTCCTGTGTGGAACGTAGAGAGAGAATGAATGATGCGTTTCTGATCAGTGACTACCTGACAGAAAGTAAGCCCGTCTGAAAATCAATCACACTGTCATCTGTAACAGGTTATATATTAAAATAATAAACCAATCTCAAACTTTCTGAACTACACCTGTAAATTTTGTTTTTTGTCATATTTTATTAGTTAGGTTTAAAAGGCAGAGGGAAAACTTTCTTGAGTTATTTCAATTCCAACTGGAGTGAAGAGCCTAATTATATACAGGATTTTGATCCACAGCTAAGAGCTCCCTCTTGAGTTTGTTAGCAGTTACTGCGATGGTATCATAAAGGAAAAAGGAAATAGGTGTCCTTTCTAAGTTTGAGGTGAGATACTTTTTAAGATACGTAGCTTAAAAAGTAATCTGCCATAGCAAAATCAATACAAACACGCTCTGGTGTAAACTCCATAAAGCATTTAAGGTCTGTTCTGAAAAAATGCTACAAAGAAAATGTGGATGTTTCTGTCATATTTTTAATCAGGTGAGTCTTAAAAGCAACCATAGTTTTTATATTAAAAGAACTGAATTATATTTTCTGCAAAAACAACTAACTATTTTACTTCATAGGCAGTGGGCTGAAGATGATTGTGCAATCTGCAGCACTGTTTTGGTTAGATGGTTAGCTGATTTCCTGCTTCCTGGAGTCAACAACACTTTATGTGAGAAATATGCAAATGATAACCCCATCTTACTTCTGTTTGAACTAAAAGTGGAACTGCTGTTTTCAGCATTGCCATATAAAATCTGACAATGCAGTTTTAATAAAAGAGCTGAAGGGCTTGTGGAAATGTGTTTTTTAAAAAGTTTGCCTGAACAATAACATGACTGTGTAAACGAAATATTAAGATCAACTGACCTAAATCACTTGACATGTGCTCCAGTACATCGAAGGACCAGCCGTGGTACTGAGCGAAGCCCTCGTACATGTCAAACATCTTCAGGAGAGAGGACAACAAACAGCTGTAGATCCCAACAGCATATCTTCTCTAACTACATCACCAGTTATACATTCCAAGGGTCTTTATCTAAGATCTTGAGCAGACCTCAGCGGTGAACAGCATGGCCTCCTGACCACCGACCCCAGCTGTGACTTCCAGAACGAGGTCGCTCATGTCGACCTCCTCCTTGGGGATCAGTAGCTCCAAAACCTGCAAGGTCAACGAGAAATGTGAGTGTTAAATATCACAAAAAAAAAGAAAAAAAAAAGTGCAGCACAACGCTGCAACTGCATGACATTAGTTGACGTTGCAAATCACTGTTTTCTGGTCTTCCACTTCATTTTTCCGCTTTTAGTTTTACCTTTTGTCTCAGATTTTGAATATCCCGCAGGCAGCTTTCTTTTTCCAGCTCAGCCAGTTCTCGTAGTGACGCATCATCATCTTAGAAGACAAGAACATGGTTTAAAACAGTTAAAACCATTTTATTATTTTCCAAATTCCGTTGTTTTTTTTTTTTTGTTCTTTTTGCCAAATTTCACATTTTTTTCCATTTTTATTTTTCTGAATTCCGCTTTAACCACATTTGGTTGCCCAAAAAGTATGTAAGTATCTGCCACAGACATCTCCATTAAAGTAATGTTTTGGTGTTACATTTCAAATAAGAAACTCAGTCTTTTACCAGGTTAATTGTCCAAAACCAATGATCAAATAAACACAGTTGGTTCAGCGGATTAAAAATCAATTGTCCTTCATAACTACTAGTCCCCAGACCTAGAACCTGTGGAATGTGATCGGGTTTCGAGCTCCTTCAATAAATGACAACTCAATACCTCATTCCAGCTCACCTTTGAGGAGCGTCTCCATGTCCGTGACCTCTTTTTGCTTCTTGTCCAGATCTCGGATGCTCTGGATGAGAGGAGCCAGCAGGGATACTTTGGTTCTCTTGGTCTTCATGTCATTTTCACTGCGCTCATCTTCTGCGCCACTGTAATTGACTGCCTGTAAACACTCGTCATACTCTTTTTCCACCTTGTTCAGGTGCTCCTGCAGGGATGTTTTGGCGAATAGCTCATCCACCGACAGCAACTTCATCATCATGACCTGTTTACCCGTATGAAGAAGCCTTTGGTTTCTTGCGTGCTGATGAGTGGAATGCTTGCAAACAGTTTTGCCAGGATTTTGGAAGCGGGGTGCCCACTCACTTCTTCTGGAGAGAAGGCTCACAAATCTCCTGGAAGCCATTGTATACTTTACCTAATCTCTCTTTCTGTAACAGTGAAGAAATCAGAATCTGAATTTATCTGCTTTTGGAGCATGTTGTTATATAACCCCCCAAAGTGCTCCACATCTGTGTCTTTAGAGGTGAAGGTGTATAAAAAGACCACACCTTAAATTCTGCAAGAGAATGGGGGAGGGGGCAGACACACACCTTAATTTGATCAAACTTACTTTTTTAAAAGTCAAATCACGTTTTCAGAAGCTATATCCAAAGAAGTCTCAAAACTCAAACATACATTTAGCGTTTCGGCTGCAAAACAAACTGATAAAATAAGAGAACTAAGTTGAAATGTTGTAATTATAACTAGGTTCGATTGTGAAACATAACATCATTGACAGAGTCGAGAAAAAGTCTAGCAGCGCTAGCAAAACGATTGAAAGCTACCGTGAGTGTTATCCCTCTTGTCGGAGACATTGCTGTGTTCAAACCGCGACTTAATTTATTCGTTAATTTTCTTCCCACTATCAATAAAATTGACGCTTGCTGCAATAACGCTGCTCCTTTACCACCTTGCTAAGGGCGCAGACATGTTGGTCGTGGTACGCATGCGCACGATTCTTTCAGGCTGATTTGTTGTGTTCGCGTCCCTAGTGGCTTTATAGGCTCATTGCAATCCTCATTTCAGTAAATGAAAACATAAAAACAAGGATTGTCAGGCCAAAATATTTTCTAAGCAACGGAATCATTTGAGTATTGAATAAAATATTTTTCCACCACTAATTTCCTTTGCCCTGCATAGCTGATTAACTAAAGTACCCACAAACTACCATCTTGCCAAAGAAAGAGAGTGGCGTAGATCCATATTGAGCACAGGGATAAATGCTGTGATATAATGCATTACTTACTGAGTGCCATGGAGTGATCTGCAATATCTGCAATTGAAAAGACAACGGAGCCTTTCAAAACAGACTCTCAACAGGGTAGGTCCAGGGATTATCACTGAATTACCATGAATGCACTTTCAGTATGCAAAGCTCTCTTACAAACACATGGACCATCACTACGGTTGTAATTGGGCTGCAGTTGCTGAACTTTCACTTTGACTCCAATGAATTTACACAACAGTTCATTGAAGACTTTTGAAAGAAGTGTAAAATGCTGCTAATCGAAACTCCACTCTTGTGCCATTTTTTCACTGTCTGAAGAAATTCCAGTAAAAAAGCTACTTGCACATTCCAGGCAGGGGTGTGACTTTTTTTTTTTTTTTTGCTGTCTCTTACAGTGTTTATCTTACACAAGCTGGCAACAGTCATTTTGCATACTAACATTTCACATATATGATCAAATTAGAGCAAGTAGACCCCATTTAGGTCACACAAGTCTGTGCCTGCAAAGCCTTAAAATTTTTGGTGTTAATTATTTCCAGGATTTATATTTCTAAATAAATGATGTGTGCTGTAAAGGTAATATATTAAAATACGTTTTTAAAACACATTTTCTTCGCTTACTCTGAATCTCTCTAGAAGATAAGACATACTTTCAGTAAAACCTGAGCTCTTAGAAGCTTTTGTTCCATTTTCCCACCGTCCCCGCCCCTTTCTGTTTGCTGCAGCGATGTCCTTCTCCTAAGAGGGGACTATAATCAGGAAACATTCCAACTCAGGTGTGTTGCTATTCCAGTTCAAACAGTGGGATTTTTAATTAATAAACACAGTGTCCAAGTTATCACTAACAATACACGGCAATAATGCTCCTCTGCATTATTACCTTGCACAAAATTTTCACAAAAGTAACTTGGAGTATTATAAATATAATATAAAGCCAAACCAGAAACGTGCATGTTTGGAAGATAACTGGATTTTTTATTTTTGTTTTGTAATTTTCTTATTTACAATTAACAGAGAACGTTCCCTCCCACTTTTCATATTTTAACATAGTAAAATAAGAGCCTGGATAAGAGGAGCCGTCATGGGTATGTTTCTCGTCGGACTACAATGTAATTGCACCAAACGCGCCACTTCCGCTCAACCACAAATCTCATTGGTCGATGCTGCAAAGCCGCAGCGCTTGCTTTAACGTGATTGGTTTGCGCCTTTGCGTACGGATTTCAAATAAGAAGCCGCAACTGGCGGATTTTTCAGATGTAGAGGGATTTTAACTCTGTCAAGCGGCTTTTCAGTCGGGAAGATATCGGCGCGGAGAGAGCTGAAGGAACAGAAACAATAGGCCTTCTACGTCATTTTAGGAGAAAACTCAAGGTATGAGTCTTTGTTAATTATATTTCAGGTTAAAGTCGGGCCTTTTTGTGTTTTTATTGAGGCAGTTTCATATTTTGTGTTAGCAAGACAGAATGATTAGCTGCGCTACTGGTTTGCAGTTTTGTACGCAACTTAAGAGGAAATAATCAAAATGTTAGAGAAAGCTTCACGGAACATTACTTTAGTATAATTTGAGTTTGACTTGCATCCTAGTTCTAGGCTACTTTGCATGGAGTTCGTGCATTACATTTCAAATCTAACACACTTTCTCATAAGGGGAATTAATAAAAGCATCATCAATAAATCCACTAACCCATGCATAAAGGGAGATTCAGCCTATTTTTCATGTTGTTCTTAAACCCTGTTTCTCTGTTGGGGATACGAACGTGGTGTAAAGATGACGTAGAAAAACTTTCCGCCAAATCCGCATCGCGCCAAAATGAACTATTTAGCTTTAAGACGTGTACAGTTAGCCTATATTTGATTGATAGACCCGAAGATTTGCTCTGGCATCTTCACTGATGGGTCTGTGAGAGTTTAGACTTCTTCTAGAGAAGCTATGCGGCTCGATGAGCGTCAGTCTCGTCCACAAGTCAAACACGATCCCTGACGTGTCTCCTCTTTCTGCGTCTCCACAGAGATCACCACACTGCTCAGTCAGAGCACACGCTGTTCAAGTGCCATGAAATGTCCCATCGTCAAGTCTGCTAAAGAGAACACGATGGAGAAGAGTCCGTTAGCAGAAGCACCTGCTACAAAGTCTAAAGCACTCTATGTCGAAGATTCCCCCAAAAAGGAGCCAGCCCCTGTTAAATCTCAGGATCGACCCGCTGGTCAGATGACTGGCTTCTTCTCCACTAAGAGCAGCACCAGTGCAGTTGATAACAAAGAGAACAGCACTGGCAGAGAGCAAGATGAGGCCCTGGAAGAATACTTTGAGGACAGTGGTTATTTATCTCTGCAGAGTAGTCATATTGATCACCAAGGAGATGAAGAAGAGGACCATGTCGCCGAGACACACCAGTGGAAAAGGCTTTCATCGAGTAATTCCCCCTCAAACCGCCATCAAAGGACTAGAATCAGCTTTTCAAGGTCTCTGGCAGTTTCCACACCTGTGGATCATCATGGAAGGAGCACAGCAGCTCTGTCGTCCACCCCCAACCTGCCCATTTTGAGATTCCAGCAGGCTGTTTGTGAGGAGCTCACAAAGAGCTACAAGAAGAATAGGAGGTAATATTTGAATTCAGTTTGAATATTCTGTACACCATTCTGATTATTTTTGTGACTATCACACACTGTGTTTCAGAAAGAATTTCTTGTTGTTTCTGTTTAGTGATGGCTGAATGCTGTGCTTTGCAGGTATGACTTTAGCGTCATCTCAAGGATAGCAGAGAAGTATCCTTTGGATCGTGTGATCGGAGGACAAATCGGCGTGGAGAACGTCGACGTGTTCACAGCTCTGCTTTCCAGGAACATGAAAAGCATCCTGGCAGACATCCTGGCTCTGCTAGGAGACATGGACCTCATAAGGTAAGTTTAATTCTTCCTCGGGAGAAAAAATAACGATAGACAATCTTTATGAAACAAAAAACAAAACAGATATTCTCTGAATATTCTAACATATATTTTATGATTACATTCCATTTTCATGTTTTTTTCCATCACAGTTGTAAGAATGTGAGCAAGACGTGGAAGAAAATCATATGTGAGGATTTGGCTGCTGCGAGGAGGTGTCAGCAAGCTGAGCAGGCTCTCAGGGTGAGGAAACTGACACAACCAACCAAATGATACGGAAACCTATTGCTGTGCATATTGTACTTTTCCTCTCATATCTACAAAATAAGATGCATTTGTGATAGATCAGCCCATAATAGAAACAGGGAAGGCAGATAAAAACATTTGTTTTAAATGTTCAAAACACAATTGATAAGATCCAGCTGTTCTGTTAATGCTAAAGAGGTTTGTTAAAGAACATTGGTGAACTGCAAGGATTATGAAGACCAATGAATGTAGCAGACAGGCCAGTTATAGAGAAATTTAAAGCAGTGAGGTTATAAAGTAACATCTTTAGCATTAAACATCATTGTCACAAAATTGGAGAAAATACAACTACTAAGAAGTCTGACAAATAAACAGCTAAGAGACTTCTAGTAACTCAAATACAGTTGAAGTGATCTAGAGTTTGCTAAAAGGGCAACTATTGAGAAAAAACATGATTTTTCTAGGAAAAAGCTGTAGTGGCAACTAATGCCTCGTTTTAAAAAACCCCTCCATCATAAACCAGCTAAAAAAAACTCTTGTCTCAAGTCTCGGCACTCGTCTACTAGGTTACCTCATGAAACTAAGCCAGTACATGTTGATACATCTGTGATGTAACAGCAGTGTGTTGACGAGCCCCACCCCCAGCTCTGGTCATTTCACAGAATACACATTGGTGGGAGCTAAATGCAAGGCAGTCTGAGTAGCCAAAGAAATATGCTATACAGTTTCAAGCATACCTGATAGCTTTGTGTTTTTCACGCTAACCCATGTGACTTTTAACGTTTAGGAGTCGAGAAGCTCTCAGAGAAATCCTGCTAGCGGTCTGACCAGAGACGTCGGTGCATCCAGGGTGGTGCTGTCCTGCATGCAGGTTCTGGCCTCCAGACGCACTTCTTCCTGCCAGAAGAGCAGCATGCCCTCACAGTGCACACGCTTCGACGAATATGTGCAAGTAAGTCTTAGTTTCGTGCAAACCCACAAGCTAGTGATTGAAATCCTTAAATAATGCTTGACTTGGCTGTTTAAGGTTTGGAAAGTGCTTTATATTCAAACTGAAGTTTTGTAAGAACGTTCTGGTGTTTGATTGAAAGCATACATTTAAAGAAGTTACAGTCGAAACTTGATCTTTTCATTCACCTGATAAAAAGACACAATTTTTCTTCCCTCAGTGTCTGAAGTTAAATCAGATGAAGCTTTTAATTTTTATTTAGAATCACCAAAATGATTTCTATTTGCTAAATACCAGAAAACCTCGTGAACATTTTTAAGATTTTTACTTTCTTTGTATTTTGTGTTTTAATCATTTAATTTGAGCAGGAAGGTCATGTACTTTTAAAACCATTTGCTTAGATGGATATTTATTATTCTAATGTCTCAATGACTTATTGATCTGGGATGTTGTACGTTAAACCTTACTGAAATTGGGGGATTCTTTTTTGTTTTGTTTTTAATTTGTTCTTGGATCAATTGGATGTATAATGTATGTCTGTGAGAGGCATTCCAAAATATGAAATTTAATGTATTTTAGTTTACGTTGTCCCTCCTGTAGAATGTATAACACAATCCAAGTCATTAACAGTCAGACATACTATAATGTACGAATTAAAACTGTCGTTTTAATTCTTTTGTATTGTTTTTATCTCCAAAGTTTAGTGCTGGACTCCTGAATTTTACTGCAGGAGAGGAAAAGTAGACAAAACCTCTTCCAGAAATTTTGTCGACTTCATCAATCCTGATCTTTGTCTCTCGTTTGCAGGCAGCCAGCACTCTGAAGCGGCACGAGTCTCTGCGTTCCTGCAGACGTTGCAGGTCTCCTGCCACCCACATGACCGAGGCCCAGAGGGCCATCTGCTCCCGGGCCAGCTGCCTCTTTGACTTCTGCACTCGCTGCCAGGAGCCTTTCCACGGCTCCACCCCCTGCCGGACAGTCAAACCCCATGTCCACTTCGCTTCCTCCAAAGAAACCGCCATCATCCCGGGCAGCGCTCGCAGCAAGAGAAACGTCAAGCGCTTGTGATGAAGGTTCACTCCAGCCTGTTTATTTTTTTTTTAAGAGACTCAATATCAATCTTGAGAACGGCATCAGAAATGACTGTATCATGCCGAACATGAGATGAGCGAGCACTTGAAGCACAGCTGGGGCACTCTACCTGAAACTGTTGTTGCTTGTGAGCAGTGACTTTTATTGTATATATATATATATTTCTTCTTTTTTTTTCAAAAAGAAAGCAATGGAAAATGTTGAGCTTTAAACTGTATGTTTTTATTGTCTTTTAAAACAGAATAAATGTGAGTACATTTTCAGGTTTTCTTTTAGAGGCATTTTTAAATAAATGTTTGTTGTAGTAGGTCTTGTTCAGATTCTCTGCAGCTATATAATCTATTTGTAAATACATTTTCCCATAAAATCTCTTGTGTTGTGGTTTTTCGTCCTTCTCCAAAGCTTCAAAAGCAACAAAAGGTATTTCTACTTGATTCCAACTTAATCACTTTAAATTTCTGAATTTTTAACAACAAGCGTTGATAGTTGCTGGTGCCAGATACTCAATCTGGCAAAGAGATTAAAATATGACAGTAATATACAGCTGACATTTTTATTTTTATCAAACCTTTTTTTAAAAAGCTTTAATAAACTGACAAAACAATAACTTGTTACTCTCTATATAATTAGTCTTTCATTGATGGTGAACACGTTTGGGAAGACTTTCCTAAGAATAATTGGAGCTTATTGCACAAGAGGGCAGTATTGTTTTCTACTTAAATTTAATTTCTCTGATCCATTTAGTCTAGTTTTTATTTTTATCTATAATATTGTAACCTACCTAAAATAATGTCCTTTGTCATTTTTTTGATAGGCTTTTTTGAAAAAATCATTTTTTTTTGCCAGAATTATTTGTTTGGGGGTCTGGCACAATGTGATAAGCCATTTTAGAAAAGTGATATACAGATCGGGTTCCATTCTATGCTGCCGTGCAACAAAAATACATTGGTTGTACATAAAGTTAGCTAAGATTTCCAATAACACATTTTAAACGAGGCATCGTCATTCTATGTGTCCGGCATGTATGGTTGCGTAAGAAAATGTTTGCTCTATCATAGATTTTCCTTTTTTTTTGGTCACAAAACGTTTCAGATAATCAAATTACAAATAGTTACCCAAACGAACTTGGCCTTACCTCCTTTTAATTTGTGAATTGACTGTATTGTACTTTATTTTTAGGAGTTAAAGCAAATCATTTAATGCAACCCTTCGTGACAACATAACGTAGGCTGAAAGTTCTCAAAAAGCGACGCCTCATTCCCCAATTTAATCAAATTTAAAATCAGTGATTTGAGTTATGATTTGTATTGTCCATCTAGGAAATTACAATACAAATGACAGTATGTGGGCGTCATTCTGTGGGTGAAACAAAGGGGTGGCAGTATGATGCTCTGGGGTTCCTTGATGCCCAAGCAACCAGATGACGAGATTTACTTGATGGAGTCATCTTCAACCAAAAAGCCAAAGAGAAGCATTTTCAGCCATCGGTTTGTGAAATGATGGCAACAAGTCGTCAATTATATAAAACACAGAAAAATCCACATCTGACTGGCTTGAAATATCAAAAGGAAGATTTTTTTTCTTCTTTTACGTAAATCAGGATTCACTCACACACCCTTGTTTCTCCAGGCACTAGAACCCATCACAAGGCAGGACATTAACCATTCTACTCCCCTCCCTATTATCTGCAGGGCCACCTTATTTTTGACATTACATGAGGAGAACACAATTTGTCAACCAGCATTTCCTGCTGTAAGCTTGGAGAAGAACTGGTTGGTCGGGCGGTCGACGAGTTACCTTTGTCAAGTCTGAGGTGAAAATGCCCTCAAAACTAAAGTCACGAGTCGTTTGAATATTGTCCCCCCCAGATCTAACTTTGCATCTAAATGGATGTGTTGTTCCTGCTTTTAGGTGGCCCTTAAAATCAGCTTTTAAATGATCTACTTCTTCTTCTTTTTCAACTACACTCATGCATAAAGCATGAGGGCCAGTTCTTCCGGTTCCTACTGGCTCATCCGGTCAGACTTTCTCAGCTGGGAGGCTCTCTGTGGAGCTTTCTCTCACTTTTAAATATTGGTCAATGACCTCTGAGTCCAGATAAAAAAACAAACAAAAAAACGACGTTACACTTGTTAGTAAGAATTATTCCTGATTACAACTGATTTGTTTATTCTGATACTTATTCTGCTGTTTAATATATTTGCTTAAAATGTCAGCTATTGTTTATTTTAATGCAATATTTCATTTTGAGGTCAATGGATGATTACTTTGTTCTTATTGTACTTGTACTAAATAATTTCTTTCCCTCTTTCTATTTTTTTTCATCTCTACTATGTACCAGGACTCTGTGACATTAATAAAGTTTTCATTGAACAGAACTGAAATTGAAATTACGTCCACTTGCCTTTTGTTTTTCTGTGGTTCCATTGCATGTAGACACGCAGACTGCCGGATTTTGAATGATAATGATAAAATGTGAAACTACATGCAGAGCCGGTCAAAGCTTCAGGATCTCCCTGTGATTAATTAGAAACATCAATTTCCTTCCAATTATTGCAAATCAGGCATTTATTGAATGCACTTTGTTACTTTATTGCCATTCATATTCAGCTTGGATGATTTTAAAAGAAAAAAAAATCTTGTGGCTTTTGACTGATTAAATAAGAGGCCATCTCCTCAGCAGACCTGCAGCTCTGGAAAAGCACCTGCTTAAAACAATCTCTCTGTGCGCTTTGAAAAATTCCTCCCAGGATATCAGCAATTTCCCCTCAAAGCAGGTTGGGCTGAATCCGCCACCTCCCCCTCTGCCCCCATCGCTCAGATGAGTTATGAATCTACAAATAGCATCACTGACACCAGACGCTTACCCCTGACATTTGCAGGATGACCCATTTGTCTCCCGTCTCTGCCTCTCGGAGCAGAGTTGCTTCTACTGGGATCACAAACGCGCACAGCAGTCAGCCCTCATTTTCTTCTTCTTCTGTCTTTATTAATGTGCAGGTGTCACAGCTCACTTTATCTTCAACGGTTCCAAACTCGGGGTTAATTGGAGGATAGAGTCGTAACAATTTCATATCTCGTAACGTGAAACCAAACTGAGCTGTTGAATCAATGCAAAGAAACAATAGGATCAAATCTTTTTGCAAAAAAAAAAAAAAGTACATTAAAACATGAACACGGTTTTAAATATTAATTTGCTATATTTTTGGAGAAACGTGTCATATTAAACTAACTGTAGGTTCACATTATATTTCTCTTTTGTGCTTAAGACTTGATGGAATCGTCACAAGATCATTTTTTAAAAAACAGGCAAGAGGTTTGGCTTTGAGACTTTCCTTGGTTTCTTTTATGTAGTCATGAAGGAAATGTTTTACTATAACTTCAATAATCAACATAACCAGTCAGAAAGTAATCAGGAACCTAAAGGTGAACCAGTCTTTTAGTGGTTTATAAGGAGAAAAATCAGGTATAGATTTCCAGAGCGCCCCCTACTGTCCAGGAAGCTACAACTGCAAAGAGCAGTGAGGGGAAAACTCCTTTTGTTCTTTTTTGCTCTAAAAAAAGATGTGACAAACTAAAAATTGGACATTTTTCTTGCCGACTAATAGCTGCCATGTTGAGAGATTCCTACCCGAGCCGTGGCTCTCTGCAGCTTTTCCAGAGGTACCATGATTGTCTCTGATTAATGCGTCCAAGTTGTGTGTCGTGAGATATTGAAAAATCACAACTGATCAAACAGGAAGCTGGGTTTTTTTTTTTAAATAGAAAGTCTGAAAGAGGGGCCACAGGTGGATTAATATAACAAAGGCCAAGGTTTTCTCTCAACAAGAAAATTTCCTGATGATGGTGTTCGAGGGACATTGTTGTAAAGTATCTGTGCTGGTGTCAGGGCTGTGGTGATTAATCTGTTCTCTGGCCTTTCGCTCCCTCTGCGACTCAGGATCATTTATCCGGCAAATTTATTGATCGGAGGCACAGATTCCTGACACAATCAGACCTGCTGCTTGTGGAAGTCATTAGAGCAGCCGCATGAATGCATATGTGTCTGTGTCTGTGTGTTGTCTGATAATGAACTTGCCTGTAACCAAAACCCTCTGACAGCCTGCAGAAACGAAGACCAGAGATGAGATATGTAAATAATTTGTTGCCTTTGTGCATTTATTTTCTCAACATTTCTTCTTCTCTCGTCCTGTAATTCAGCATTCAAGCTTTCATATCTGTTCGCCACTTTTGGGGTTTAACAGTTTGTTTTTCTGCTTTTAGCTCATTTCAGCCTCAGGATTGAGGAAGTCGAGGGGGCGGGGGGAGTTGGTGTACAACAAGGCAACACGCACGACATGTGAGATGTGTTTTCATTTTAATCCGCTCCCCCCCACCTTTCTCGACTTGATGATTTTGATGTGCAGTGACTTCTACAGGTCAATTGGCTGGATGTCGCCAAAGCGGAACTGTAAAGGCCCGGAAATGAGGCTGTCACTCCAGGGCCTGCAGCGAAACATCAACGGAGGAGGAAATGATTCAAGAGCGGAGCCAAACAAACAAGCCCGGCTCTCCAAAGTTTACTCTACACCGCTGGAAATTCCAGCTTCCTCGCATTAACAAATATATAATAGAAATAAGATCAATAATTTACCACCTTTTAATTTGACAAATATCCTCTCGAATTCAACTGATATCAAACACAACTGTCAAAAATAAAAAAAAAACAAAATAAAAACCCTACAATAATCTGAATGGATAATTATGCAAATAAGTAATATATGTTAGTTATTTGCATAATAACTAACATAAACGTTCCAACTTCTCCAAGACTTTTAGGTTGAGAAGGTGTCTGTGTGAAAACATGAATTTCATTTTTTCATCCCTCTGTAGCGAGATTAGCAGCAGCGAAGTTAGCTGTTGCTAAATTTAGCAACAGCAAGACCCCTTAGCTAGTTTAGCAAGAAGTAGTTAAGCTGAGCTAGATGAAGTAAACTAGCTAATTTAGCTAAACTAAGCTAGCAAGTTTAGCAACAGCTAAGCTAGTAAGTCAAACTTGCTAGCAAGCCCAGCTTGCAAACACTTCGATATTCGTTGCTAATGAATGCGACACCCCAGCTTTTATTTTCAGCAGATTGAAGCCAGTCAGTATTTTAGTGTGATTTTTTTTCCTTCACCGAATAAAATTCTTTTAATTTGTTTATAAGTTTATTCCACCTCATCTAGAGGAAGCCTAATGGTTCTCATTCTGCTAACGATGCTAAAGAGTGTTTCACCACATCAGAGTGAAATCAAGCTACAGTCAAAGCTCGTCAAGACGGTTTAATTGGATTTTCTGTCCTGATCCCTGTCGTGTTTCAGCACATGGCACGAGATACGTCACTCTGCTGTCAGAGACTGCGTGACCCTTTCAGCCTGCTCGTATTTGGCTTTTTCGAGTTCGACTAAAGTGTTGCAGGCGAGCAAGTTAGTTCCACATGAATTCATGTGCTCGCTGTACATTTCAGCAACGCACCACGCCTTATTTCCCTTGCTCGGCTCTTTCTGCAAAAGCTAACCACTGAACCACAAAACGAATGTTAAAGAAAAATGTTTGTGCATTTTTCTAAGGGCCTCAATGTCCCTGTGACTCACTGCACAAACTTTCCTTTGCAAACAGCGAGCTAAGGAAGGGGGGGGCATCGGCTCTCATCAAAGGCGTTGAATACACTGCTGTGTTTTGGTGTTATTCACTAATGAGCTTCTCTTTATTTGTGGATTTGAAGATTCAAGTATGTGTTTTGCAGAATTATTGATTTAGCTTTCTGAAAAGAAACAACACACACTCTCTCTCTCTTTCACACGCACACACCCACATACTCAGTGCTTGGTATTAAAAGGCAGCTGTCCTTTTCTATTTTTGCTCTGTTAGGTCCATTAAGATCAGCAATATGATGATATTTAATGAGTGAAGCCTCTCCGCAAAGCAGCCAATCATAAAGGTACAGCACAAGGACACGGACTGTAAATGCGCAGGCTTGTTGATGTTATATTGCAGACATAAATAACATTGCCTGGGTCACAAATTAGTACGCTTTTGCAGTCAAATTTGCCTTATTTTCCTCAGTTTTTGTTTTTCTCTTGCAAAGTACTTTAATGTATCCTGTGTGTTCAGTTTCAAAACGCTTCAAAATTAAATTAGATACATGCGAAACAAAAAGTGTAAAAAACCTTTTGATAGAAAATATGGTAACTTTTTAAAATTTAGTTTGCCTTTCCTGGCTGCTTGGTCAGTTTCATATGCTGTCTTTCCAAAAACGTTTTATTAGAGAATAAGAAACATTTCACGGTCCTTTTTTATGTACTCTACTATATTGCTGACATTTGCAGACCAGCCTTCATTATATTAATGCATAACAGGATTAATATATGAAATCAAAGCTAGATAATACACAGAACAAAAACTTTTAAAAATGCAACAAAACAAATGAGAAACCTGCATATAATTTGAAATGTGAACCAAATAATTCCACATTGATTGCAGATTCTTTAATGCAATTTTGATATGTGAACATTATTGGGAAGTGACTGGAGGGGGCTCAGTGAGCACAAAGCCAGGTGGATAATGAACAAAATGTGAAAAGTCTTGAAATGAGCCAAAGTTTTGGCTGTTAACTTTTCTTTTCTCTAGTCAAGCCGCCCAGTGGAAAACAAAGCAACAGCGTCACTGGAGAAAAAAAGTAATTGGTTTTGATCTGAGTTGGGTTATAGACCAATAACCCTAATTACACACACAAAAAAGCTCACACAAAGAGGCAGTTTCTGGAAAAAGATAAATAAATAAAAATAAGTAGGGGTGTTGTAAAAGGTCAAAATTGTCTGCTGCTTCTCCCTTAAGCAGTTGGTGTCAAATTGGGCGCAGACTTGATTTCATAAGTGCCTAAAACTTCTTTTTCCCCCCTTATGTAAAGCCTGACTGGCTACTAAATAAACATACATTACATAAACCAAGTGTCAAATCTAAAAAAAGAAAGAAGAAAGGAAACATCTTCAGGAGTGCCACAGATCACAACCCTGACGTAGAGTTTCGCCTTTTCTGTCTTCGCCTGAAACGCCGCAGCTGTGAAAAACTCGCTTTCTGCTGCGACTCGTGGCAACAGCTTTCACACCTTTAAACGTCACTGACCTCCTTGCGCATCAGAAAACGAAGGAGAAGAAGAAAACGAAGGCGTGTAGAAAAATGGTTTCAAAATCAATAGAGATGCTGTTTTATTGTTTTGTTTTGTGTTTCTTGATGAAGAGAAACACTGCATCTGGACCTGCTTGTGTTTAGTAAGAAAGGTTCAATTTATAATTAACCTTTTATGGGAGAAAAATATATTTTTTTCATCTTTACTTTCTTGATTATTAGAATTCAGTAGGCATTTTTCTACAATTATTTATTTATTTTTTTAAAGGCAAAAGTAAAATAATTAAAAAAAAGACTTTCAAGTTGGGAGTGTCTGATTTTTCTTTCTTTTTTTTTTTTTTTTTTTAAAGAATATAAGTTATTATAAGGAATATTTCAAGGTATATTAAGGTCGTGGCCTCAAATAGTTTTGTCAAAAATGACACATATAGCGTTGAGCTTCCCTCATGCTGGACTTTTGGGCACAGAAGTGACAGTGGCTTGCAAAAATATTCATATTCACATTTTGACACATTTAAACCCGAATCTCTTTGTATTTTACTGGATTTAATGAATATTTGTCCACTTGTAATCGGCCCCCTGTCCATAAATCCACTGAAATTGAGTGAATAAAGTTGAATTGTCTGCATTTTACTGCGAGCACGAGTTTAGTTGTTCTGTGAAGGCTGTGAAGAAGATTAACGTACAAAACAAGCGGCTTCACAACAAACAACCAAGGAACACAGCAGGCAGGTCGGGGGGCCAGGAGGAAGTTGTGAAGGAGTTTTAAATCAGGGGCATAACATCACAACTGTTGACTATTTCACAGGTCAGACCATCAGCTGCAACAATGGAAAGAGGACAGTAAAAAGCACAAATGGAACAAAATGGGGAAACAGACAGCGAGGGACACCACAAGACACTCACGGCTCTCCACCCTATTTGACTGGGTGTCACGTCTTATTTAGAGACCATTTGAAACGTGTTCACCTACATGCCAGAGTTTTGTACGCGTCCTTTTGTTCTATCTGTTAATTATCCCATAACCCATAGAGTTCACTGATTTAACCTTTCTCTCAAAGCAAGAAAGTGTTGAGACTTTGTGGCTAATTAGAACGGGCTCTGTTTGTGGAACGTCCTGCCTGTCTGCGCTCCGTTTCAGACACAAAGACGGTGAAATGTTTCCGACCGGAGCCGGAGGTGAGAAGCTGAAATGTGGTCACCATTTGTTTTCGGTTTTATTCGGCAGACGGTTAGCTGTCTCTGTCCATGGTGCTGAAGTGAACTGGTTCTCCCTGCTTCTTTCCACACGCCGGCTTCTTTTGTGTTTTCTTTTCAGACTTATTTTTCCTCTCAGAGTTCAGGTCTTTCACATGCCCCTCAGTTAAATACAAGGTTGGATGAGATGATTTTTATATGATTTTAATTAATTTTTGTTTGTTTTTATTTTTAAAGCAAAATAATGTGTTCAATTGTGACGTAAAGTTTTTTTTGTTTTTTTTAACAGGTAATTATTATATTTTCTTTTGTTGCTTTATTTACATTCTATATGCATATTTACAAAAGACAAAAGCTGCTGATGAAACCGGCAAACTTTGATACTTTGATGCATCGGTTTTCAATAAAGAAAGTGACAAATTGCCAGAGGACTGGATGTTGGTCAACGGACTGCAGAGAGGAGAAATTAAATATAATCGTACACGTCTATCCCAAAGTGATGTCGTCCTCTGAGTGACATCACAGAAAAAAGTCAGGAAAGATGACCTTTGGGTCATGATAATCTGCTCTTGTTGAAAAGAAAAAAAAAATAACATAAAATGTCAATAAGTGAAAATGAGAAAATCGTTGCCATCAAACAGCCAGACAAAATGACTCAGCTTTGAAAAATAAACCAACATCTTTTATTTGGTCACTCGTGTCCACGTCACTATATGTACCGAAGGCAGTTCCACGCACAATGAAAACCTCTTTGCTCTATATGTTGAATAGTATAAAGTGATTATATGCATCTGTGTCCTTTCCGAGTTTCGGCCCTTTGCCTTGCAGCTTCCTTCTTTCACAATCCAAAGACCCGCTTACAAACACTCCGCAACCATTCCAGAAAATACACCACTAGAAATGGCCCATTGTTACAATTTATATCATTTAACATTCAAGAACGACAAAAATGGCAGATTTTCTATTATACTGTGAAATTCTCAATATGCAGAAATCAATGGAATTCGCTTTGCAGCTCACAAACTGGAAGATCTTACAGAACGCAATTGGCTTGTAATTAAAGACATTTAATAATTATAAACACATATTTTAATGACAGAGTTGTGTGCTACAGGTCTAATGCAAACATATGGGTACACCAATTACACAACTTTCAAAATGATGTTGTTTGAACCATGCTGTTTTTAACCAACTATTTAATTAGGGAATTATTTTTTTTTTAAACAAAGTTCCTAGTTGCTTTGCCAAAAGTTAAAATCTAAAATTAATATTCCCCCAAAAATTTACATTTATGAGTTAAGTCAGTGGCCCAGAGGAAAATCTGTTTTTGTTTCTGAACTTTCCAATTTAAACGCCAGTTTTTGTAGACATTAAGACAAAAACGCAATGCAACAAGTTTAACGTAATAGCAAAATGTGTGTTGTCTATATATTCTTCAAAGAAAAAATAAAAGCTTATGGAGATGTATGGCACTGAAAATCAGATGAACTCTATAACAGACCATCTCCAAATGTAAATCTGTGAGAATCCCTTAAGACTTCACACTTTGGAAGACTTTGGAAATCAGGATGTTCATCTTCGGTCAAAAGGGGGAAAAAAAAAATTGATGCCAATGTGAGACACTTTTCGGAAAAAGAACAAAATCCGAAAGCAGATAAACGTGGCCCCTGTGTTAAATAAACTCCTCCCGTAGCATTTCTGACCAATCAAACCTGCAGACAGACACACACACGATGCTCAGTGCTGCCTGCAGAATCTTTAACCGTTACCATGATCTGAATACATACAGTGTAAACATGTACTGTGTAGATGAATAGATAAATAGCCACACCGAAAAACATATCACTGTTGGTCGATCCTGTCCTTTTCATCGAATACCATGTGTGTGCATTTTTTCTTTAAATGTGTTTATTTCTCTTTTTTTTTGTTTCTTTGTTGGTTTTGTCAATAACATTTTTATAAGATGAGATGAGGTATTCATTCCAACATGGGCCCCTCCTCAAAGTGGCTGCAAATGAGAAAAAGGACAAGGTTATTGATTCGAAACAAACAGGAAATCAATCATTTTTCAGACAGTTATATTTTTTAAGAAAATAACAAAAGGCAGGACAGACACCATGCAGCATCTCAATTTTATAAGTACTTATTGTGGGATTTACAGTTGAACTGCTGGGCAGATTGTGCACCATTTTGCTAGGCAAGCTAGAATTCAGAAAAAACCGGGACTGGGTGTATATGTCTCCAGTCAAAGCGTGAGAGATACTCAGAAGACAAGAAGATGCCCACCAGCTGAAAGTTGTTTAGGAGGTGGTCTACGTTGATGTTATCGTAGCGCTCCTGGAAAGAGCTGGGTTCGTCCCTGGACTCCTCCGCTTCGCTGGTTCCAGGATCTTCTAGGCTGTTTGTGTTTAGCAGGAGAAAAAAAGTCACACGAGAGTTTCTTTCACATGCAAAAAACACGAACGGCAAATATAAAATCTGCGCCGATGGAAAACGCTTGTGATATTTGTTTGCTTTGTCTGGTGTGTGCGTGTTAAAATCTAGCGTTCATACGAGAGGTTTCGGGAGTCCCACCTTCTCTTTCCTGTTAGGAGAGAGTTCAGGTACTCCTTGACCGCCATCTGTTTCCGGAAGCGGCTGTAGTTGTCTGTGAAGATGGCGTCTGTGTGGCGCTTCGCCGGCTCCATCAGGTCGTCACTGCACAAGAGGGCGAGGTCAAAGTTCAGAGCGCGGCAGATTTCTGTGCACAGGCAAGGTCAGGTGTGTGTGTGTCTCTGTGTGTGTGTGTCTCTGTGTGTGTGTGTGTTTTTGTCCTCCCAGGGTCTATTGGAGACGTGCAACGTAAAGCTTCCGCGGCATAAATGAACCTTTAGAAATGTTTGACCAATTGCACAATGCATGGTGCAGCGGGTCAGCTCTTTCCATTTCAAATGTCAGTCGGTCGTCTTGAACAGATCGGCGAAATAAACTGTTGCTGTTTTTTTCTTGTCAGAAAGTTAAACTTTTTTTTTCGCTGTCCAACCAATTTTGTATTAGGGAGAAAGGCAATGAGATAATGGGAGTGAAAATAATCTCTTCAGAACAAAAACTGAAAAATGTTCATATTTATATTAATTATTAAAATAAACAGTGAATTGAAAAAGAAAATCTGATCATTTAGACGCCTCTCATTCCCTTTACTTTTATATGTAAAAGTACAGAGGGGAAATGACCACTTTATTGTTCCAAATACAGGAAGAATACAGGGAATGTAAGAATAAATCTCACATAAGATGTCACTGCACAAGATGTCACTGCACATAAGATCTCATGTAAGATTGATAAATTTAACAATTTATCAATCTTACATGATCAAAATAAGAAAAAACTTCGATTTTGTGAAATATTAAACTTCAGATTTTGCTCACAGAATAAAATCTGCAACAGGAAACATAGTTACCAGAACAGATTCTCTATTTATTTTCTGTGCAAAAATGAAATAATCATAAAAAGTCGTGTTTGCAACTTTAAAACTCTTCAAATAATGCTCGTATGTTTCTGTGAAAATGCAAAGCTAAAGAAGATTTCCCAAATCAGTGATTATTTCTGTTCCTTTTTGATGCATAGTTTTTCCCCAGAGCAACTGACATGATAATAAATGTGTTTCAAGACATGATTGTCCCCACATATTTTTTTGAATATGTAAACCTTGTTGTTTTGTTGGCTTTCTTTTATTAGCTCTTCCACTTTGTTTATGTTTTTTAAAATCCAAGATGATAGAAATTCATTGTGAGCTAAATAGGAATATTTTTTTTCTGTTTAATTTACATTACAAGACCATTTTTAATGTTTTTTTTTCTATTTCGTGATACAATGATATTTACTCTCGCCTACCTGACGCGCTTCCCGATCAGAGACTCCAGGTACCTCCTCGCCGACAGCTGCCCCAGCAGTTTGCTGTATCCGCTGGTGAACAAACCGTCTGCATGTCTCGTCGGTCTGCAAAAGAATTACAGGGCAGTCAGTCACAAGAGGAGGCGCGCAGACTGGCTCCATCTAAACATCTGTTGTTGTTTTTTTTGTGTGTGAAACAGACACGCATCAGCCTGACCTGTAACTGTGCTAAACATGACGCAGAGGGCAGCTGTATTCTGAGGAAATTCAAATGCGTAAAGTACACCTGGTTTTAGGAGACGGTCTGATCATCTGACACGAATTAAAGTCGAGTGATCCCGAATCACGCGTTTGAGACACACTCGGCTCTGATGCTGATGGTCTGCGCTCACCTCGTGGATGTGTACGGTAGACTCAGAGTCCGGGAGTATAACACACTGTACAGGGCTATTAGGAGAAGCAGGTGGGGGCCGGTCCGTTGTACCATCGCTTTACACCTAAGGAAGGAAATGGTGGCATGTTATTCCCTTTTTCTTTTTTTTTCTTTTTTATATTTTTTGTCTAAATTTTAATTTTAATTTCACACAGACATGCACAGTTGGAAAAGTTTTTCTTTCTTTCTTTCTTTTTTTTTTACTTTTCGAATGACAGTAAAAAAAAATCCTTCACTTGAATCCTTTTCAAGCGACACTAATTTCAGGGTATCTCATGCGTAATTACGCACGGTGTTGTGAAGCGCGGTAAACCACACACTACATTACTGAACGATTGAATCCGACGAGTTTTTCTTTCAAAGCGAGTTTCTGATCAAATGCTCCGACTTTGCCCTAAAATGTCTCAAAGGAACGCTTAGTTCATTTAATTTCACCGCGCGTATTTTTGTTGCGTAAAGATGAAGTCTAGATTTTATGAAAGAGAAAGATTTCTCATTCTAAACTTTTTATTTATTCATTTTTTTGGTGGGTTAGGTTTCTGATCACACGCCAACCTTCAAGATTACCACAAATCTTTATATATACAATATGTATATATCTATAAAGAAATTATAAATCATCCAAAAATCAGTGCGCAATTACGCAACGCACTGGCAACTGCGAAGCTCATCTGACAGGAAAGCGGACAAATGAGTTAATGTCGAGATTCTGCTAACTTATACTCGACAAGTTACTACTTAGAAAACTTCATCCAAATTCAAAAAGAAGCCCCAACACTTCCTAGAAAAGAATTGAGACATAAAATAAAAACCTTACATTTGCGGAAAGTCGCGATCGTCGGTTCTTCTTCTCTTGGTCCTAAACAGCTGCTCGCAACTCCAAACTGCTGATCCCGTCTGCCTGTCTGGCTGTTCCTGCTCGCCATCGGTTCTGTCCCGGTTTTATACACCTGGATGTGTCCAGCTTGCAGGAGGGGGGGCGGGAGGACGTGAGCCCCATCAGCAGCAGCAGGAGACGTCAAAGGATCGTCGCTTCCGTCATCGGTCTTGCTCACGGTCGGAACCGAAGGGGCCATGTGCAGGGGGTTTTGTCGGAAGTTTTACTCTTGAGTGTTTGTTCCAATTAGTTGCGAGGAGAAATGAACTTATTCTCAGGGTTGACTCACCAGAATGACATCCTCTGCAGGGATATTTCTTCTCTCTTTTTTTGTTATAAGCTTCAGCATTACATGCATGTCTGCTCAGGTTGGGATCTCTGATTGCTTGCATGTGTCTTAGTGTTACTTCCAGCTCTGGATATTTAGGGCTTTTAAACGACTTTCAGTAGCAAGACTTTTTTTTTTCCATGCATCATAACCTTTTTCTTACCTCCTCTTCGCTGGTCGTTGCATTGTCTTCTCCGCTCGATGATGAACACGTGTCCCTTAACGAACTGAACACACAATCTTGAGAGACCCCAGTTCTCAAAATAATGTTGGAGATATTTCTTCCACTTGACTCAGATTTCTAAGTCAGAAAATGTACAATTTTGAGACCGGTGACAGTGTTTATGGGAAATGATGGAAATGCCGAGCTAAAATGAAGCCATTCGGGTGGAGGTGACTGTCCAGGTCAGTGGTGACTTTTGCATCTCCACTACTGGAACAATGGGCCATGTCTGTATGATCCGGTGACGGTTTGAGCATCTCCACAAAAGCACTTCAATATTACAAGATGACAGGATGGCCGTCATTTAGGAAAGACAGTTTCATTTTTCCTACTGTTGAGCCTAAGTCGTACCCTTCAGTACCAACATTTCCTGCTCCAGTCACAAATTGTTTTTATTTGCTAATTTATCCAGTAATCGCCCTTCCCTGCATAAATACCACTAGACTACATTAAGCCTTGTCAGATCATCCTACTTGCACCACTGTTCTCTTTTTGGGGTATCTTTCTCTTGTCCACAGTGTTGTCATAATGTGTAGTTCTGTGGGTTCGTTGTTGACTGTCAAGCTTCGTATTCTTTGAAGTTATTCTGGAATAACTTATTCCTTGTGTTGTGGATTTATCTATTTTATTCTATGGCATTTAAATCATTGCAATTGATTGTAGTTGTAAGTTAATTCATGATTGTTGTCTTTTATAAGAACTTTAACTGGTGTATAAGTTCTTTATTTGACATTGACAGTTTTCAATTCCCTAACAGAAGTCTGATAAAGATGAATAAAAATTACAGTAAAATATTGGAGATCTAACGTACATAAGTTTCAGCATGAAAACGGAGGCATCCGAAAACCATAAAAGTGGTAGTCATAATCTGTGTACTGGATAAATTCTTAAAACATACATAGAAAGACTGAAACTTTGAACAGTTTTTAGTGTAATCTTTCTGTTTTATTCACTTAAAGAAACATTATGTTTTCGTCTTGTAGTATTTTTTTGTTTACTGAAAGCTAAAGTGCCAAAAATCATTAGAGGTAATCAAAGTATGCAAAGATCCTTTATTAATGTGGCTTAAGTCCGATTCAGCTTTGCTCTGAACTAACGTGTTTTGTCGTTTCACCTGCTTAATATCACAATATCAGATCGAATGCAATAAAACATTCATTCTTCAGAATCACTTGTTGTAATCACTGTAGTTCTGGTGTTGCGTCACAATGTGTATCAGACCCTAACCCGAAGGAACATGTTCTGAAAACTCAAAAACCTGTCAGAGGAGATGATTTAATCAGCTTTAACAAAGATTTGGGGCTTAAATACTCAAACAATTTGTTAGGAATGAATGATTTCTTTTTCATGTTCTTGCCTCTTCAAAACATAAAAACTTCAATCATCAACAGTATCAACAAAATCCACCAGTCCTCTCACCTTCCCCGCTCCATCCATCCATTCATTCACAAAGCAAAGTGGGCTTTGGAAATCTTCCAAATTACCACCGCTGATAAATGCAGCTAAGCCTTTTACACCCAAAAACACTGATGCTTTTTTTTTTTTTTTTCTTTTTCAGGTTGTTTGGGAGCTTTTGCGAAAGAACCACCAAGCTGGGCTGAAGTGTTTCTGAGTCCACCCACAGTGTTCTCGATGAGCCCGGTTTGTTTTGCTGGAACAGCACAGTGAAAGAGCCGTGACGTCAGCCGACGCCTCATCCGCACGTCCTGCCCTCCGTCCATCCATCCATCCTTCTGTTCGTCTTTCCATCCCTCCGAATGAGTGTGAACCATTTATTTTAAATCACTGCAGTGGAAAAAAAAATAAACGACAGGCTGAAGCATACGAGATACACAGGGTGATGAGAGACTCTTAATGTAACAGAGTAGAAATGTGGACAAACTGCAGCTTTATTTTCAGTAGTCTACGAATTTTTGTTTAATTTGACTCTGAATATGATACGGTTGCACAAAAAGTCAATTTTATCTTGCCACCATTCACAGATGGTACGGGACGTATTGTTAGAGGACAGCAGGAAAGGGGGAGTGACCCAAAACACATGGTTCAATAAGCACAGAAATGGTTTTAAAAAAATACAAGATTTACTTTCTTCCATGGATTAAAAACAAAACAAAGAAAAAAAACCCAAAACAACAACAACAACAACAAAACAAGAACAGCAATGAGAGAGAATTAGAGGGACAAAATGAGCATGTATAGCAAATGTAATTGATTTTAGACAATAACAAATATGTAGTGATGAACTGAAGAATGAAAAGTATAATAGTAAAACAGAAAAACATCAGAGAAAACATGACCACCTACATCCATGCTATGGAAAGCTATTGTATAGTACAATCAATCAATCAATCAATCAATCAATCAATCAATCAATCAATCAATCAATCAATCAATCAATCAATCAATCAATCAATCAATCAAGTTTGTTTGTGTAGCACATTTCAGCAACAAGACTGCATTAAACCCGGTTTTGCATAAATTACTGCAAATATTGTCAAATACAGTAGATCAATTATTAACTTTCCAATGCAACAGTATACAGTAATCATTCAAATGACTAATAGCAGCTTTAAATGGTTTTCCAGGAATAAGAAAGGCAACATTGCATTTGTACAAATAAAAAAAAATATATCAACAGTGTTTGGTTTCGAGAGCACAACACGGCTGCATTAAATTTTGCTCCCTGCAGCAAAAACAAATAATATTGTTTTACACACATCTTCCACGGAGCAGGATTGATTTCGATTCACATTTGTGGTTATTCACCTGATAATGACTACAAATCCTATTTGCCATTGCACAGAGATTAATATCTCTTATATATTTATATATCCTCCCAGTCAGCAGATGACCTCCATCACAACCACCTCTTATCTGCCCTCTTCGCAGCCATGATGGCACTACGTAAACCTTAATGTGATCAGTTCATAGAAAAAGTGGATTACGCCGAAGTCCAAGGGAGAAGGAGCTGCTCTAATTGACAGCGGTGATAGGAGACAGATCCCAGCAGGAAAGGGAAGCTGATGGAGGAAATGTCAGCCACATTATGTTGATGTTGACGGAATGTACAGAGGAAAACGTTCCTATGGACGTGAATCAGACCGTCTTGACTCTGTGCATGGTCAGGACAACACAATCGGGACTCTTTATTACTTCTGGGCTCCCAGCACAAACAGCGGGTCGATCACATTTGCTACTACTAATAAGGAGCTGCCAGAAACTTTTAAAATTTGGTTAGACGGTGGCTTTCTCTCAGAGAGTTCAAACAAACCGGTCGTACTCAGATTTTTGCCTTAAGTTGAGGCTCTCCCGGCTCCGTTCTTGCACACTGTGTTGTCTACTGAGCACAGCAAATGACTTCATCCTTGCATCCAGAAACACTGATTAGCTACAGGCTTGATGCAGAGTGTAATTAGTTTTAAATAATTTGGTTTGAGAAAATACATAACTCTTATGAAGCAGTTTATATCTGTTCTTATTACGGAGACAAATACGAGACTCAGTGGACTGAGTGCTATACATTGAACCTGACAGGTAAATGCTTAACATATCATGGTTCTTTCTTTCTGGATAGTTTTATTTGCACAAAATGTACAAAGTCCTGATAATGTCATTTTTATTGCAGTAGCGTCTGATTCGGAAAGAAAATTGTCAATATGTCCTTAGTTGGAATCTATTCAGAAAAAATCCCACATGAGCTTATATGTTTTTCATAATTTTTTTAATGTAAATAGTAATAATTGTTGTTGCCCTAGAAATATTGCTAAACAAATAAAAACATTTAAACATTACTTTTGAGGAAAAAAAAAAACAATAACATATTTTTTTAATTGTAAGGGCTTTTTTAGTAGTAATCTGTATATTCCTGTTTTCCTTCGGTATAAATATAATGTGGCCCATTCTGTTCTTCATATGTGCTGTTCTTCATATGTTGGGGAAAAAAAACAGACCAGTCCACATCGACAGCCGGGGCAATAAATAAAACGTTAGAAGCGAAACTGTGAAAAACAAACAAACAAAAAAAACTCTGGATAAGAAGCAAAGTTTGTCTTTCCTCTGTGCCAGTGGGAAGGATTGCAAGGGAGGATGAAAACAATACCTCCAGGTAAATTGATCTTCAATTGCTGCAGAGCACCCTCTTATATTGCTAAGTCTCCAGAACAACCATTAGACATCTATAAGATGCTAAATGATTGCTTGGGAGGCTTTCAGAGAAAAATCCTTTACCATCCTCCCACCACAAGCGCAAACTTGTAGTCTTTGCTTAAGCTTTTGGGACTTGAATAATTTGACCATATGAAACAGCCCAAATGATGTGCTTTTAGAGTGCAAAAAAGAGGAGAAGGAAAATAAACCTCCTCATGCTCACTATTAAATCTGTGATGTTGTGTGTCTCTGTCTCCAGTGTATTACTTCATGAAAACTCACAGAAAACTAGAATCTACAGCAATTTGGTGAGATTATAGATCAAGGATTCAAAACATATGGTTGAATGCA